AGCTTCGTTTTCCGGGCAGCTTCAGCACGTAGCCAGCGCTTTTTACCACGAAGCACGATCTCGAGTGGATTTGCAGATGCTCGGGGACAATGTGATTGACGAGATAGAGATCGAGAACTTGCAGGCGTGCATTCTGCTGGTGATGCACGAGTCTATAACGTCGTACGATGAACGCGGGTGGCTTCGGGCGGGGTATGCCTTCCGGCTTGTGCAACGGATGCGGCTGTATGAGATTGATGCACCATCGTCGCCCAGGCTTGCTGCTTGCGAGGACTGGGTGGTGGTCGAGGAGCGACGGCGGATGTTCTGGATGGCGTATTGCTTGGACCGATTCCTCAGCATGCGTGATGGTCGACCCTTGACGCTGATTGAGCACCTGGTGCGTCCCTTTTCTGCTTCCTGAAAACACCCACTGACCCTGCGACTAGATCTCCACTCGCCTCCCTGCCCCTGAAGCAGAGTTTCAAAGTGGACAGCGAATCGATATGGAGCTTCTCTCCACTGCCATCACCTCGGGCGGGCCGCGCCTGACCTCTCCTTTTGCTGAATGTATCATGACGACGACGGTCTGCGGCCGCGCCGTCATCCACCACTACCAAACCAGTCTCGAGAACACCTTCACACACGACTCTTCCAACTTTCATGACCGCCACGAATGGATCCATAACACCATCACGCAACGAATCAACATCCTCTCTTTCAATACCCCCAAGTTCACTGAGAACAGTGACCCTATGTTTCTTTTCACACGTATTTTAGCGTCGACGACGGCGCTGTACCTCTATCACACTCTCAGTCTCACATCATCTGATCTCATTTCGGAGGACGACATGTCGCCGTTCCCGGATTATGGCCATGCTGCTTTGTTGGAAGCGCAGGAGATGGTCCATTTGGCAAATATATTAAACAAAGTCAATTCCTTCAAGGTGAGAACATTAGCACTTTGTTTCAGTTGCGAATATGGATTTTGAACTGACATTGAATAGATTCACCCCTTCACCCACATTCCACTGAGCCTCTGCGTTGACATCTGCAACACGTATAGAGACCGCGACGGAGCCATTTGCGCTAAGCTCCAGGAGGTCTTCCATACGTTGCGGAACCTCACGTGGGTGAACAGTCTTGGGGAGAAACTTCAACAGGTACTGGGTGGGTCGATATGATCCACAACAGATGGTCCATAGTTTCGGTTCGGGAAGACAGAACCGGACTTGAAGACGCAGAATCCTTAGATGATGGGGTGGCGTATTGGAGTTGCGCTGTTAAGCTTTGCGTCTATTGCGTCCATGAGCACGATAGATCGTTGATTGCATGTATGCCGTTGATATGCCGATGCATGCATGCTGGATGTCGAATAGAGTTGGCATCAAATCCAAATCTTTGAGTTCAAGATCTGTTCCATAGCATCAGCCCTCAGAAGAAGAGGAAACAGTAGGGAAACTTATCTCAAATAAACCCCGATCACCATTCCAGAGAACAGGAATGATGTAATTTCCCTGAAGCGATAGTTTTTGTTGTTCTGCAGCCAGGGACCGACCGTCGGATTTCGCGCTTCAGCGCAGCGGCACAAGTCCGCTGTCTACCCCATACTCTCGCTCTATGCTTGATATTCCATGATCGACAAGGGAAACAAAGGAGACCTTTGACTGGTATTTATCTAAAACCCCAGTTCCAAAACACTGAAGAAATCCGATTCTCTGCTGCATTCGGCCCGTCAACAAGAATTGTTGTAAGGAAGTAACAAGAGAAAAAAAATATCCGTAGAGTCAACCAGAGTAAGAAAGATCTTTTTCCATTGTAGCAAAACCCGAAGGAAGGCATGTACTAGGTAGCTACCCTACCTACGCAGCCTTGCACACCAAACACAAAAAACCGGATTTCCTGTTTGGGGGGACCGGAGTTCGGGATTCATGGGGTTGGCGCGCAAGTCCGGAATCCGGTGGCGGTGAGCTTTCGGTATTGGGGCTAACATACTACAGGTACCCATACTGTACTTTGCGCTGGGATTGGGGATTTATGGATCCGGGATTGAGGATCGGATTGGGATTGGGGATTGGGGTACTGGGTTACTGGGTTTTAGAGGGGGGAGGGGGTTTGGGTTGGGTTTTGGTGTGCTGTGTAGGTATGCTACGCGGTTTGGGTACTACTTTATACAACTATAGAATGGAATTTATTGCCAGTGGTTTCTATGCTTCTTGGTTTGGTGCAGTTTATATACGGTAGTAAGGGCACAGCCACTCTGATTGAAATAGTCTTAGTTGGAGGGGGATTGCGAGTGGGATTAGGGATGAGGTTCTGAAATCCGTTCGTCCCTGCAGTGTGTTTCAAGCCGCCTGCCCCCGTCCCTGTGCTTGTCCTCTCCTAGGGCCTTGCAGCTTGCTCAGCCCTAGACTACTAGGTACTGTCTAAGCCTCCTGCCTGAGCCTCCTCCCTGATCTACCCTTCCTCCTGCCTTGAACGTAGAGCTCCCGGAATTGAAAGTTGAACCCCGACGAGCAAGCCACCGCCATGACCCGTCTCTGTCACCCAGGCCATGCCTTATCCTCTCTCTGACTAACGCATTCAGCTTGGATATGATCTGCCATTGGCTAGAGCAGAAGGGAAAGGGCGAGGGGGGTTCAACATGACTTGAATTCCGAAGTCCAATTCCGTGCGGTCTTTGCTGTGTACATAGTGTATTCTTTAGTGATAGGTAGATGCATGTGGAGGGCTGTGTAATGCCATGGGACTATTGGGCGAGAGTGCACACAGGAACTGTAGTCTGAAATCCGGGCTGAACCCCGGTCAGAGGCCATAGAAAGAGGGATGGGTCTGCCTTGTCCTTGTGTTCTACGTGGTGGGTGGGTGTCTCAGCTGAGTGTAGTCTTAGGCTTTCCGTTCGGGGGATGTTCACGAGTTACTGGTGCTTGTCGGGAGTTAGTAGTTCGTTTCTTGCGGGGTTGGGTGTTTTCTGGAGCGGGTGCTGGCGTGTACATGGTGTATCAATGGTAGTGGTTACCTACTGCTGGACTTTGGATACTCGTCAGGGCGGTGATCAGGCCGTTGCGGGAGTTGGGTGAGGAGTTGCGAATCTGAGCATGAGGGTACTGACCGGGATTGGCACCAGTGTTTAGGATGCTGGGGTGGTTCTACTACATGATATGACTCGACACCAGCTTTGTAATGATGGGGTAAAGGGAAGGGCCCCGTAGATCAAGATGTTTATCCTAAGTACGATGACCTCAATGTCAGCCTGCAACTAGTCTGCCCTGCAGGGACCGCGCGCAGTAGCCTGTCCCTCGATCTGAGACCCGGTACTTCGTAGTGTCGAAATCTACGGACCGACGTGGATCAGCCGGGGTCTCGCGGGGGCAAGTTCGGACCGTAAGGCACCAGGCACGGCCCTTGGGGCATTTCTCGGGGCTAAGGTGGGGTGAGTGGGTGCTGTGGCCAGAGTAGCAGTGGCTCCGTAGAGTCTTGCACGGCTAAGCTTTGAGTCCCTGATGGTAGGGTTGGGGACTGAGTTGACGCTAGAGGGTTTGCAGAGTTTATGTTTTGAAATTATTTATGAATATGATCTTAGTTGTTAGTTGTTCAAGGCTATTCTTTGAGGAATAGTGCTGAGATTATGGTTGTGAATGCATAATAGCATAGCATGTCTACAGATATATATTCCATTCATATCACGATACCATATAGAATGTTGATTTAGCGCCACAATAGCCATAGATTACTGTTTAGATAGTCCTAGAAGAATCAAGGTACAAGTCAACCAAGCCCAACTACTTCTTTGCCTGCTGTCAATTCATAGTTGCAAGTATCGTCGACGATGAGGTACAAGCCCTACTATAAACCATGAATGAGTGTACTATGATCAGGTGACCGCCACGTGGCTAGGGCTAGGCTGGCTGAGGGCTGTTGCTGACAGCCACTGAGCCAGGGATTCGTAGACACCCGCCAAATCCGCGATCGTCAGGTTCCCTATCCTAAAGAGAACATGAGCTTCAAGATCGCTCAGATCGATCGACATGCGATGATCACTGTGAGCGTCCTGTGATTCGAGCTGATCCTGGTATACTTCTTTTGACTACTAACCAGGGGATCCGTCCCAATCACTTAGGGTATATTCTACAACAGCCAGAAAGACTTTACTGGGGGTCCCCACAAGCGGCAAGCAAGAGACCAGCTGTAGTAGTCAGCAGGCATTCAGCACAGGAAATCCACCCCGGCATTCCGACCGATATCCTAGAATCAGAGACCAGAGATCAGAGACCAGAGACGAGACCAAGCGGGGACAGCGGGGTAAGGGGCGAGCGCAACAAAGGCGGGATTCACTGTGGAATTCATCGAGAACTGGAATTCCTCCCCACCCACCGACCCAGCAACGGAATTAAACGACAACTCCAGAGTCCAGAGTCAACCCCGCTGGTGCCGTAGCGTACAGCTCCCTAAATCTGTAGTGGGCGCGACAAGGCCACGAGGGAAGAAACGGCGCGAAACCCGCGGTGGTTTCCGGGCCAGCTCATTGGGTAACGGGATTGAGGTGGGAAGGCACCAAACCCGCGGCGGGACTTCCCTCGTGTTTGGGAGCCCTAGAGCTTCTTCACCCCAGCTAGACTTACTAGCTTCTGGGCACAGACACCAAGAGCCAAGCCTCTTTCTATCATGGTAAGCAGGGCTATTCTGCAGAGACGAAAACAACGCTAGACCCATGGTATGAGCGATGGGGCCCGAGCACCCCGGACTTGGACCATGTATCGGGTTCTCCACGAGATTCCGTCGCCCACAGCCCATGACTGCTGAACCGGAATCTGGGATTTCGTAATTCGTGAACAGGCATTTCGGGCTTCAACGTCTCACTCAGATTTCGGGGGCTCCAACATCCCGTTGGCCTCAAGTGGGATTATGTATATAATGGTTTTCGCGATCCAGATCCTCAGCATGTCCCAGAACAGCAATTCCAACAGCTTCATCAACATCAAGACACTCCACTACAACAAAAGCCTCCAAGCTTCTTGATTATCAATCATCATCATATACACACTCTATCTCCACAACAACCCACCCCTCCTAATAACAACAACAACAATGTCTCACTCCACCCAGAACGAAGTCCTCGACGTCGCCATCGTCGGCGGCGGAATCGTCGGCGCCGCGCTGGCCATCGGCCTCCTGGCCCGCGACATCAACGTCACCATCTACGAGCGCAGCAACGCCTTCAGTGAGGTGGGTGCGGGCATCGGCTTCACCCCCAATGCCGAGTCGGCCATGAAGGTGCTCGACCCGGCCATCCACGCCGCCTTCAAGAAGGTCGCCGTCCAGAACACCACCGACTGGTTCACCTGGTCCAACTCGGGCAACCGCGAGGAGGGCGACTTGGACGAGCCCATCTACAAGATGTACGTGGGCGAGCGCGGCTTCGAAGGGTGCCACCGCGCCGAGTTCCTCAACGAGATGCTCAACCTCATCCCCGAGAACCGGGTCAAGTTCCGGAAGAGCCTGGTCGCGGTGGAGGACCGCGGGGACGACAAGAAGCTGCTGATGCGGTTTCAGGATGGGACTACTGCGCAGGCGGATCTTGGTAAGTTGTTCTACCTTTGTGAAAGTACCCTCATACGAGCAATGGCTAATCCTGGATGCAGTCGTCGGTTGCGATGGAATCCACTCCAAGGTCCGCCGCCTCGTGCTGGGCGACAACCACCCGGCCGCGCACGCCGGCTACACGCACAAGTACGCCTTCCGGGGTCTGGTGCCGATGGAGAAGGCGCTGCCGCTGCTGGGCCACGAGCGCGCCTACAACCGCCACATGTACATGGGGCCGGGGGCGCACATGCTGACCTTCCCCGTGGCCAGCGGGCTGCTACTGAACGTGGTGGCGTTCGTGCACGACGAGGGGGAGTGGACGGAGGAGAAGCTGACGGCGATGGCGACGAAGCAGGACGCCGTGAAGGCGTTCGAGCACTTCACCCCGTTCACGCGGGGGATCATCGACCTGCTGCCGGAGACGCTGCACCGCTGGGCCATCTTCGACATGGCGGCCAACCCGGCGCCGACCTATGTGAACGGGCGGGTGTGCCTGGCGGGCGACGCCGCCCACGCGTCGGCGCCGCACCACGGGGCCGGGGCGGGCATGGGCATCGAGGACGCCGCCGCCCTGGTCGAACTACTGCAGGCGGTGCACTCGCAGGCGGCCCGCGCGGCCTGCCCGCACAGCCTACCGGAGCTGCTCAGCGCCGCCCTGGCCACCTACGACCACATCCGCCTCGAGCGCACCCAGTGGCTCATGCAGAGCTCCCGCTTCGTCGGCGAGATGTACGAGTGGCAGCACTCGCGCGACCCGGCCCAGATCTGCCACGAGATCGACTCGCGCTCCCGCCAGATCTGGAGCTACAACATCGACGAGATGATCCGCCAGACCCGCCAGGACTTCACCCGCCGCCTCTGGGCCCTGCACGCCCCCGTCTCCGACAACAACGCCCAGATCAAGTTCCAGACGGGCTTCCTGCAACAGACCCCCCTGGTCGACCGCATGCTGTGTACCACCTTGACGGTGTGACTCCACGTTTTGGTTTACTTGGTTAATGACTGGGCCCGGCGTTTCTGTTCCTGTTACCTGTCGATAGATTTCTGGCTTCTGTTAGTAATGATAATACCACGGTTTCCTATCTGAGATAAAGCATTCTCCATATTCCTTGCCTTTGTTTGTCTTGGTAGAATAGTCATGGACGACAACCGCCAACTGACAAGTAAACTAGTGGATCCTGAGGGGGGAGATAGTTCCACGCTAATGCAAGTAAGCTGTTGTGCTGAAGACACCTACCTGATTCTGGGTCTGAAAAATCTCCGACCAAACCCGACCCCCGGACTTAGGGATTTTCTGGCTCTTATGTCAGCTTCAGGAGTTGGGATTGCGGAATTGAACTAAAGAGAGTCAGATCCGTGGTGACGTGGTCCAGACCTGGAGTACCTTAGTTGGGTAGTATAGCAACAGTGCGCGGCTCACTCACCTGGCAGATTACCTAGTAGTGCCTAGTCTCAATCAGTCAACAAACCAGGACAATCCGGGCAGATCCGGGGCGGACTTCCCTCGGAGTCTGCTAGCTACCGCTGGCTGGACCCCAAGCTACTCACAGTAGGTACCTTAGTTACAGGACCTACTTGAGCACTTCATTGCTAACCAACTATACCTGCTGACGTTTTTATGCATTGAAGTATTGGTGCTTTGTACCTATCATGTGTCATTTTGAGCGCGGATTACTTGACGACCCTTATTTTCCGCATTCCTAGACCTAAGGTTTGGAATGATCTTTCTGGGATCGGAAACGTGAGCTTGTCACTACAATTTACGTAGGGCAGATCTGCGTGGATCAACCGAGACCTTCAGTCACACCTCCAGTGTAAATTAACTAAGACATGCCGATCAAGTAAGTTCATTCTTTTGGGCTCTTGCTGTACTGCTCACCACCTTGTTTCTATGTTATCATGCATGTACTCGTAAACGGAAAGAGTGTCTGTATGGTCACGCAACTTCTGAGGGTCCCGTACTGACAGAAAAGAGCATGAATCATACTTGTAAGATAAGGTCTCGAGTTCCATCGCTTATACTCGAGGAACTCTACATTTACCAATTCTAAATCCAGAGGAAATAAACCTAGAAAGTAGATCAAGTAACACCCTTATTGGATTGGTACAGATAGATCGATCCACTAAGACTCCGCAGCCCGCTTCTCTAGTCTTGCTCTATGCAGCGTCAAGGCAATATACAGGGAACCACGCCACCCTTCCCAGTCGCAAACAACCGCCAGTTACAGTTCAAAAAACCAACAAAAGAAAAAAGAAAATCCATTGCTCATCAAAAATCATCATCATTGGGAATAATACAACAGAAAGCCCTCCCACAGAAACACCACAACTCCAACTCCATATACACGTAACCCGAAAGAACCCCCCATATCGAACACCCGACCCATCCTCCGAAAGCTCAATCCGTCATTTTCAAAACCGCAGAACCAAGGGTATCATTCAACTTGTGCCGCAGCGCCGACTCCAGCATAAAGCACATGGACTGGTCCGCATCCGTGGGCGAGGCCTCGCGCCGACAGTATGACTGCGTGAAGCTCTCCACCAGCCCGCGCACCTTCTCCAGGTCGTTCATGACCATCTGCGCGACGATGCGGCGGTGGTCGCCCTCGCTGAGCTCGAACTGCCCGATCTTGATGGGGAGGACGCGCACGCGCGTCGGCGCCGTGATGGGCTGCATGAATGCCATCTCAGGGATCGCCTCGCAGCCGTCCAGGATGGCTTGGTACCAGATCAGAACCTTGGAGATGGCCTGCGCGATGAGGGGCGCGAAGCTGAAGTCCAGAGAGCAGGGGCAGCCGATGACGAGCGAGAGATTGCTCATGGCTTTTTGGTTGAGGTGCAGGACGGCGTCGAGGCTGCGGGGCGGCGGTGCGTTCGAGTTGAGCACGCATTTGTCCGACGGGGGGTGGAGGGCTTGCAGGGTGTTGAAGGTCAGGGTGATGCAGGATTGACCGTGGAGGGAGGAGATGCTGGGAGACGGGGACGAGGTGGAGGATGGGGAGCTCGTGGAGAGGGAGGACAGGCCGGTTTGGATGCTGGATTGCGAGCTAGATTGGTGGGGGGTGACTTCGAGGACCGGGGTGGGTTGCGGGGTGGTGATGTCGAGCAGCCGCTGCAGCTCCTGGTCCATCGTCTGCCAGTCGTCGATGAGCTGGAAGTCATTGTGTCCCACGCTGGTGGGCGGGTTGGTGAGGAGCCGGTCGGTCGCAGAGTAGTCGTTGAGCTTCTCTGCGATGGCCTCGAGGTCCTGGTAGCCCAGTGTGTTGAAGAGGTCGATGTGCTGAAAATTGTTGTGGTTGTTGGGGTCCGCCCGGTCGGGCGAACTATTTTGGGTGTCCGTGACCGGGGTGAGATTGCCCCCGGGGGGGATCTGCGACAGACGTCGCCGCCCTCGTGGTCGGATGAAGCCGTAATTGCATGGCTTGTTGCGCGCCACACATCGATCACATCGTGGATGCTGCTTGCCACAGCGCACCTTGGATTTGGCGCAGGCGTCGCAGCTGTCGCGGGTCTTGCGACTCGGAGGCAGGTCGCTGTTGATGCTCTCCCCCTCCTCCATGACACTCATGGTGGAGGTGTAGGGGGATGCATGGTCGAGTGTTGGTGACCGTATCATCTTGCATCCGGTCTGTATTTGGATCTTCGGCATTTTTTTTTGGACGAACTATACAGGTGAGAGTACTTAAGTATGGCTCATCGCTGATCGAGGATGGGGTCGTGTTTCCTGCTAATCCCGTCCGAGCACGTTGCAGGGACGAGGCTCGAGGTGTTACAGAAGAAAGAATCCGATCGCATGTTGTCGAGTGTGTTTGGTAGAAATCCGAAGCAAATTCCTGTTGAGTTGTGGAAACACCGGTGTTCACACAGAGAGCGCAGCTCCAAATCCGAGCCGCCAAGCTTGGGCGATCTGCCCTCTGAATCCCGTTCCAACCCCGGCGGTGAGCCCCTGTCGACTCCTCTGACCGCTTTCAGCTGCGTTCTGCCGCGGATCCCACCTCTTCCTGGAGATAAGCATGCTGCCGGCCCGCCGTTCTGCACTGCTTGGACTTTCGGCAGTTGCTCGTGACCCTCATATCAGATGAGTCTTCCCCGGTTGGAAGTCAGAGTAGCTCGAAAGTCTTTAAGACCATTTCACTGCACTATACAAGCACTCATCAGACCTCTGCTCTAATCCACATAAGATCCAACGTATCTGTTTTCTTGCTCGGGTTTCAATCACATCTTAGTTTGCATGCCCACCTGCAACCCTAGAACTTACCTCCATTGAATTGCATCCCAATTTTCAATTTTCGAAATTGGTTCTGGAATCATTGCGATTGCCTACTACAAAAGTCAGCAACATGCGACAGGCTGACACATCGAGGGAAGTGGAAGCTCAAATAGAGGCAGCGGCTTGATGCAAGCGTCCAAGCGCCCCGATGCAACACCCGGCTAAGGACCGAGGTCGGGACCCGAGACGGGCGCCACAGCCCGCATGGGCACCCACTCCTGCATTATGGCCCTTTCCAGCCTTATTCGGATCCCAGCCCCCTTGCTAGCATAGCATTGCTAATCAACCTATCGAGTCTTTCCACTCTGCACACATCCTGCTCGTGCTTGCAAGTTCTTCACATCAAGGTCTATCCCCAATATGGCTATCGAAAATGAAGCGACCGTTTCCTCCCCATCCTTTAGCGCTAAACATACCCTGTCAACCCTCACCAACGCGGCAGCCCTATCGGAGTTCGATGCATTAGTCCGCCGCGGCCTCGTCGTCTACTCCCCCTGCAAGATCGTGCGCCTCCAAGTTGACAACTTTCACGTACACAACTCACCATTCCTTCTAAGTTTCACAGATCTAACCTCGCGAATCTAGTTCGAATTTCGAATCAGCCAATCTCTCACCAACAAACCCCAATCTGGAGAGGGTCTGAAACCGCCCAACGAAAACAGGACCAACCACAGCAGGAGCAGCAGCAACAGCAACAACAATGACAAGGACAGCAGAAACAGCGATAATAATGATGCATCCTCCAAACCAGCAACCTTCGGCCCCGGCAGCGACCTCGCCTGCCCCACGCCTGACCTCATCATCGCCACCATTCACACGACCCACATCCTCGTCCCGAACGGCTACAGCGTCTTCCGGCCGCAGTTCCTCCTCCTCACCCAGGACTCGTACCGGCGCCAGCACGAGATCTTAGGCCGAGAGGACCTCGAAGCTGCGCGCGCCGTCCTCTGTGCATTGGGTCAGGACAACGGTCGGCGCTACTTCGCCATGTTCAACTGCGGGCGCACGGCCGGCGCCAGTCGCCAGCACAAGCACATGCATATGATCCCTTGTGTTGATGACGAGGAAGAAATAGATCAAATCATAAAGTTGCCTACCGTGAGGAAGGGTGTAAATGGCGACACCAAGGCACCAGCATCAACCATCCTCCCGAACAACCCCGCCCCAAGATCCAGCGACATCCCCTTTGCGCATTTCCGCGCTCCGTTGTCACCCTCGGAATTTCAGGAGCAGGCGTATTCGGAGCGCGTGTTGGATGCGTACCTCGGGCTTTTGGCGGAGATGCGATCCGCGCTGGGCGACAGAGGTGCAGGCGATGCGGAGGGGAATATCCCGCACAATGTGATCCTGGTCGAGGATTGGATCATGGTGATCCCCCGGTCGAAGGATCGGTATCGGCCGGATGTCGCGGTCAACGGGGCGGGGATGGTGGGGTCGGTGTGGCTGGATCGCGAGGAGATCCTGTCGCGCTGGGTGGAGATTGGGCCGGCAGAGGTCTTGCGCGGGGTGGGCTATCCTCCGTTGACTTAGGTTGGGTCCACTAGCCAGTCGGTACTGTACCTGGAACGGCTGCAGCGGTAGAATACCTAGGGTAGAGGGGACTCGCTTTTTCTGCAGTGACTGGGGTAGATGGACCCTTGCCTAACCAGGGCATTCCTCTGAAATCCGAACTCCGGCAATGCTTGGGATAGAAGTATTCGATTCAGGTAATGATAGCAAGGAAATATATTTCGGAAATTAAGCTAGATCATGATTCGCAATCCAAGGCATCATCAAAGAACAAACCGTCCATAGAAAAAACCAAAAAGAAAAAGAAAGTCTAATTACAAGAATCTCGCACCATCCCCCCCCCCAAGATAATCTAAAGCTCCAAGCAGAACCGATTGAACTCCTCATCCTCGAGCAAACAATCCATCTCCTCCTCGAACAGGTTCATGGCCAACTCAATCCCGCCCTTACTCCGACGGGGCAGGATGAACGAGATGCGCGCGACGTCATTGAGGGGCCCGTTGAAGCAGCGCACGGCCTCGGGCTTGCCCTCGTTGCCGAACCGGCGCGTGCCGAACTGGATCGAGTCCACGGGGAACAGGAGCAGGTTCGAAATCAACATGTCAGCGCCGGCGGTGCGGCGGAAGCGGGGCTTGAGCTGAGAGAAGTCGGCCACCCCCTTGATGAGCGCGTAGGCCTCGTGCAGGCTGGCGCTGTTGACGCGGCCGGCGCCGGTGCGGATTGCGCGCGCCACCCGGCCCAGCGGCACCGCAGGGTCCAGCAGCTCCGCCACCGGGATCGCCGACTGGTTGTAGAACGTGATGTTGCCCAGGTAGCTGGGCGGCACGGACTGCGAGAACTCCATCCGCCCGTCGATCGCCGATTCAAGGACCGACTCCTCGTCCAGCGTGTCGTCGGCCGCCGCGGCGCGCGCTCGCACCAGGCTGCGCCACATCAGGGCCGTGACCACGTCGTTGCCGCTTAGGGGTCCGGTGGTCGTGCTGTCGTCGGCCGTGGAGGCTTCGCATTCCTTTTGCAGGGCCGTCATGTTGGCTGCGGACATGTAGAAGGTGCGGTTCTTCATCTGCCGGGGTGGCTTGGGGTGCTCGTTGCCGAACCAGTTCTGGAAGTCGATGGGGGTCGTCGAGCCCTCGCTGGGGCGGAGGCCGACCAGGCCCCGCGTCCAGGCGTCGGCGTCTTGCAGGGCGATGGAGCCGGATTTGGGCGGCACCCAGAGCTTGTCGAGGAGGGTGCGGTCGGAGCTCTCGGCGGGGAAGGGCTCGAGGATTTCGGAGGGGTCGAACACGCTGCGGCAGTTGTCGGCCCACAGCTTCATCACGGTGACCATGGCGGTGCCGTCGATGGCGGCGTGGCAGGTCGACATGCACAGCACGCAGCCGTCCGGGATGAAGTTGGCCTGCGCCACGAAGACGTCGCAGCCCGTGTCCAGGTTGCCCTCGATGGGTACATTAAGAAGCTCCTGGTCGTCGTAGGCGTCGCTGGGGAACCCCTCCTCGCGCAGCTCCGCGAACGTGTAGTCCGATTCCAGCTCGTTGAAGCGCAGCTGGTGCGGCAGCGGCCCGTCCACGGGCGCGGCTGTCGCCGGGTTGTACCGCAGTTCCCGCTGCCCTGGGCGGTACCCCGGCGTGTCGGGCGACTGGCGGAAGACTTTGCCCCCTAGCCACGGCACCTGCACGAAGGTCTGGTGCAGACCCTTGCCGAGGTCCTCGAAGACATCCAGCGGGGTCGTGCCGGGTTGGAGGGAGAAGTAGTAGCACAGCTTGACATAGTTGGGCCGGTGGAGGTGGTCCAGGACGTTGAGCGGGACGTGGACGGTCTCGGATGACATCGTTCGGGTAATTAGTTGCTGACGGGTGTGGTTGGGTGTCAATGGGTGGGATGTGATGTCGCTAAGAAAAAAAGTGGTTCGACGTGTCTTGGTCCGTGGAATGTTGCTTGTCACCCGCCTCGATTTGCCTCTCGATGTGGTAGTGGTTGTGATTGATGTCGATGGTTGCGTCTTCTTCCCATCGAATTAGGGCTTATATAGATGATGTGTTCCCATTGCGAATTGAACTACCCTGACACCTGCAGTGTCGTTGAACCTCGAATTCAAGTCAACTCCATGTCGGGGATAGCAGTCAGTCTGGATCCAGAGTCAAAATACTCAGGACTAGAATCGAGTCAGATCCAGACTACTAGCTAGAGACTAGGGACTAGTGATCACGCACGCGCGACAGGGCGACCGTCACGAGATAAAGTAGGGATAAGCGGCGACAATCGGGCACGAATTGGCCCGTTGCTGGCCGGAACAGGAAAAGCCATGGACACTTTTGGGGTTAGTCATCCAGCTGATTCATGTCGAGCTGATGCAATGGTTTCTACCAATCATATTATCTGAAATGGCCCCTCCAAAAGTGTCCGAGAGTCCGACGGAGAGTCCGACAGTGCAGCAGTCGGGCATTTCACACCGCTGTCACTGGTCGGCTTTCACCCTTTCCAATCCCGTTCCGGTCGATCTTCCCATCACCCACTGTAAGGAACTTGTAGCCCATTCTGAACCATTCCCAACCCTATCAATCCGTCTCGGCCACTTTACACATCACCAGGTTACCAAGCACAGGGGTCTTCCAGTCCGTATATATTTGCTCCAAAGTGACGGCTTCTCTCCTCAATATGTCTGACCAGAGCATTTCAATCATACCACTCTCATCATCCTTATCTACCTTTGAATTATCTGATATCTCAGATATCCCAGATATCCCACCTATACTATGGCGACCCTTCGTCAGTATATCAACCTGCGAGATGCTGCCAGGGAGGATGTGACTAGAGCCCACACCTTACCTGACGGTGGCTCATCCTCCGGCACCTCCACTCCGGACGAGAAGGAGAGGGCTCTCATTCCTGGCGTTGAACTATCTCGCCCCAACGAGAACGATGGCTCCGTCACCTACGTCGTTGGCTGGAAGGAAGGCGATCCCCTCAACCCTCAAAACTGGACTCGTACCAGAAAATGGATCTGTACAGCTACGGTCTGTCTGATCGCCCTGGCTGTCAGTATCCCGGGTACCATCGATGCTCCCATCTCCGCAGCCTTCAACGAAAAGTACCACGTCGGTGAAATCGCCGGTACCATGGTCACTGGTGAGTTGACCCCTTTCCACTAATGCAGGGGTCGAGGCTAATCGTTGCAGGAATGTACCTCATTGGTGTGGGTGTGGGTTCTCTCTTCGCCGGACCCTTCTCGGAGACATTTGGCCGCAATGCGGTTTACTTCATCACCCTGATTGTCTTCATGCTGTTCATCCTGGCTAAGGCCTTGGCACCCAACTATGGTGCCGCCATTGTCTTCCGCTTCATCCAGGGTTTCTTTGGTGCCGCCCCCTTGACGGTCGGAGGTGGTACCGTGGGTGATATCTGGGGTCCTCTCGATGTCACCTTCAGTCTGCCATTCGTGACCATGGCCTCGTACTCGGGTCCTATTCTCGGTCCGATCATCGGTGCCTACATCCCTGCCGACAAGTCGAACTGGACCGACTGGATCTCCCTCATCATTGCCGGCGCCGTGCTTGTCTTTGTCGCTATGTTCCAGCCTGAGACCTACGGTCCCACCCTGTTGTCATGGAGGGCCAAGCACCTGCGTGCTGCCACCGGAGACTCCCGCTACCAGGTCGACGAGTCTGCTTCCACCAGCTCGCTGGGCAGCCGTCTCCTCGTCAACGTCTACCGCCCCTTCCAGATGACCATCACGGAGCCCATCGTCCTGCTCTTCTCCTTCTACCTGATCCTGCTGTACATTGTCCTCTTCACCTTCCTGAATGGTTTCCCCTTCATCTTCACGCAGACCTACGGCATCTCCAACTCGCTCACCTTCATTATCTGGGTGGCTATGCTTGCAGGTGATGCTGTCGCCATCTTGCTCATTCCGCTGATCTACGGCTGGACCAAGAAGGCGGCGGTCAAGGCTGCGACCAACGGCACCGCTCTGCAGGCCGAGGTCTCTCTGTACTGGGCCATGGTTGGTGGCTCTTTCTTGATGCCGATCTCCTTGTTCTGGATGGGCTGGACCTGTTATGTAAGTTTTTCTCATTCTGCTTATGCAGTGTATAATTCAATACTAACGTATCCCAGTCCGACATCAGCATCTGGTCCCCCATCATCGCGACCTTCGTGTTCGGATACTCCCTGGTCACCATCTTCACGGCGACCTACCTGTACATTGTCTTCGTGTACACCGTCTACGCCGGTTCCGCGCTGGGCTTCATGACCTTCAGCCGTTACGTCATCTCGGGTGCCCTGCAGCCCGCCTCGATCCCCATGTACCAGCACATGACCCCGCACTGGGTGCTCACGCTGGTCGGTATCCTGGCCACCATCATGGCGCCCATGCCCTTCCTGCTGTACAAGTACGGCCACCAGATCCGCGCCATGTCCAAGAACGTGCAGAACAAGGCCTAGACAATGTCAATCCCGAGCATAAACGCAAGGCCAAGAGTGCAATACACACAGCAGCACAACACCCCGACAAGCGAGCGCACCCACTCCAGCGCACCAACCACCCACCAACCCACCTGCACCAAGTAGTTTGAATTGACTACCTGGTGAAGAGATATACATAGACCGGCGACCGGCGATTGGGGAGTCTTCCCTCTCCCACTCGCACCGTATAATTGGCGAATTTCCCTTCTGAGACACCCCCCGTATTTGTTTTGACCGTTTTTATTGTTGTGGTTTTGATTCCCTTCTACCATGCATATATCCATGTGCGAAGAGCAAAATGTTGGATTCTAATGTTTTCTACAAGGAGGTGATTGAAATTTGATTTTTTTTTGGATCTGGATTGATGAAACATGACGCGCGATGAGACACTAATGGGCTTTATTTAATGAAATGAAAGAGATGGAATGATTTTGATTTGATAGATATACCTTAGATTGTTTACGACTGTTTTGTGTATGAGATTTGTGTTCTTGATAGGAATGGACATACGTTAAAGGTATCGACTAATTAGAGAGTATGCGCAGAGGCTCCAGGCTTAGTAGGGTTCAGGCCGGGGCTGGCCGGGGGGGGGCCGCCTGAAATGGGCGATTTAGGGCTAAGATTTTAGGCAACAGTTTCGGCCTGATTCGTAGTCGATGTCTCGAGGAATGTAACGCGGTGGGACGGAACATTTCATTTCATTTCATCTTACAATTCGTTTCAACATGACATTTCAGTCAATGTTTTCAGCGACATTTCAGGTTGGATCTTTCGGCATATCATTTTCAAAGGATCTTGTCTATGGATGTGAAAGTAGACTGCGAGGATAATCTAGTAAGGGATTATTTAAGCAATGATTCAAGGATGATTCAACGTGGCGGTTCAACCTGACGTTACGTTTCAAGCAACTTTTCAAGCACATTTCAGGCAACACATTTCGAGTGCCATTATTATACGCTGTAGCTTTTAGTATAGCATCTAATGCGACTCTGGAGTGATTATTTCAGGGCTATAAGTAATCCGATGGGATTAATTGGCAAGCGATAATTGGACCACAATTTCATGGACGATCGAACTTGACATCACAATTGCAAGTTCTTGGGACGATTCAAGCGACATTTCAGACGGTATTACAAGCATTTCCCGACATATTCATCGCAACTCCACATTACTTTGTATCCAGGCGGCTTAAGAAGTGCTTTCATCGAGATTGATATATTATGTCGGGAGAATACAGTGCTTCAAACGTAAGTGGTGACCTACTACTTTAAGTACTACAATAGGTGAACAATTCCATCTGGCTCTTCTGCCTCAGGCCGGAACGCGCGCCCGCGCTTGCCGCCTGTTACAAGAGAGTCCAAAGAAAAAGGAACCGAATCCCCTTCCTTCCTCCCACTTGTCTATCTCATCATGCATCCGTTTATCAAGCTCGCTAACCCCTCTGTCTACTCCCGTTTGGTCATGTTCTTCCTATCTTCTATTCTCTAAGTAGTATAACATAGCCACCACTAATGACGGATGATGCTCTCCTGCGGGAGCGAGCTGATCGCCGCCACGCATTAGTCAGAATCGAGACTCTGATCAAGGAAACCCCGAATATGCATGTTGAATCCGCTGATCTGGAGGCGGCTAGCATCTGCCATCTGGCCTATGTCTTGATAAGGATAAAACCCAGTTCCATTCGCGCTTCTTTCAACCATACCAAGGAGAACTGCCTGCCCCGGAAAAGGAAAAGGAAGAGGAGCTGCCAAAATTCGAGCCAGACCCGGAGCACATTATGTGGGAGACTCGCGAAATGGAGCTCTTTTTCACTTACCACTTTCACGAGTGCTGGATATATGCTGATCAACGGGACCCCAATAACCCTCCCTTTCCGGTGGATACCGAGAGTATGTCATGCCTTCACAGCTGTCTTAGCCTTTGCATGCTATCCTCCTGACTAATTCTTGGACAAAAGGATTGGAGACTACAAGTTTGGTCAACTGCTGGAGTGTATAGGGTTTAACTGGTATGTCGTATCAGTGACCGACTATTGGGCGGGCAATCACCCACACTTCAAAGTCATGCTGGAAAGTGACGCCATCGGGAACGAGAGCAAGCTGCTTCGCGGGGAGATCATGACCATCACCGATATCATGGCTGCGAGGCTGAGGACCAAGTCGCTGCGCCCGCATATTGTTGCCCCAGTAAGGAATATTCTCTCTCTGGTGGGAGTCCCATACAATCTTGCTCACCTTGCGTTTGATTCAGATCCTGGTGTTGTCCCTCATGGGTCCCCGTTATGCCCGCATCCTGGGGGCTGATTTTGATGGGAAGATTCTCAACATCCGCGCTTACAAGCTCTACGATTTCACGAAAAAGAACAGGGATGCTGCGCAATTGCTTACGCGGTATTGGTTTAGTGGTGCTGGTGGACAGACTGAAATGGAACTGTCCTAGTTTCAGGCTGTGAAGTTCAGTGCAACATTTGGAGTTGGACCTCCTCGACCTTCTATGGGATGGTGGCGTCGCTACTATTCCTTCCTTCTTTCTTTCTTAGTGGCTTTGACGAGCGTCGCTTCAACCACGACAGCTACAATCTGCACGCTCGCACATGGGCTTGGATACTAATCTAGCTGAAAGCAGAGACAGCATCACAGTCGCAACAGCTCCAAAATTTCCATCGGCAGAAATAAGAATGGTGGCCGAACGCCACCATCTCGAGTCAAGTTCGACTCTGCAGTACTACCTACTGCTATGCCGTTGCACTGCGTGCCGGTAGCTGACGAAGAACGATACCTTTTCTCTTCTATTTCCCGACCGTCGCATTCCAATCCGGGAGGAAGTGAGCGATGAGACCGTCCCTTCGTACGGGCAACAAGCTGCATAACGTGCATACCTTGGCTGTTCGCCCCGAAGGTTATCTAGAGACTTGACTCTGGTTAACCCGGTTTGCAGGGTCTTTACAATGAACTTTGAAAGCCCCATTGGTCTGGTGCGGAAGCGCGCGGGTAGATCTGACGATGGAAGACAATGTCAAGCCTTCTGGAAAGCATGGCAGGTTGGCATCTGCAGGGTCCGGTAGAATCTTGTGTTGGGGTTGATAACCTGGTACTAAGTGATTGCCACAGAGCCTTGTTGGCAATGAGGTTACGGGCGACTTTTCTCTAGGTCGCCGGATATTGAATCACTTTCAAGGACAATATTGCCATAGACAGGGTTAGTTGGGGCCTCAAGGTCGAATCACTAGATAGGCGATGTTGCAGGCTAGAAATATGCTGCAGCTCGTGAATGTTTCAGTCTGCAGAAACTGGGTCTGCAGATCGTGAAGATTACTGCATAGGATGAGGCCTGCAGAGTCACCAGGATCGTGGTAAACTAGAAGGGAGCGACCACACGTGGAGGGAGCCAAACCACGAGGGGAAGAGTCCAGATCCTTCACGGTGAAATTGGCAGAGAGTAAATAAAGTGGCGTTGTTGCCGGGCTCTCCCGCCCCTCCGAAGGATGAACTCGGGCATTTGCCTGTCCTGTGCGGCTCTCGATAAGCCACCCAGAACCGCCAAAGACCGCCAAAATAGCCAAAATAAGCCCCGACGTCCCGTTGCCGAGCCCTTTTCATCCTCCGACTTGATCTTTCACTTGCTCTCTCGTCATGACACGGGTTTACCCTCCGCCGGGATTCACCTGGTTCTGCTGTGCTTGATTGGTTTTTCGTTGTATTTTTGTCGTATCTTACCCCATGACAGGGATTCAAATACAGTACGCCTGAAGGATCTCACCATTCTCGTCATTACGGAGTTTACCATCTCTCGAGACAGGAATCAACTTCCAGCTTGGCGCTATCGAAGAAAAAGAACAAAAGCATCATGAATCCCAGCTGCTTCTGCACGGTTTTCCTTTCTTCCCTGCTTCTTAACTCTAGACTTCAACCTTCTTCGCTAGTGTGAGCGTTCGGCCACGTTTCTTTCTTTCTTGGAACTATTACCCCACTGATATGCAGATACACCATGCCCCTCTGCAGGGACTCATTTACCCCGGCCAGCCTCAACACCGGTACCTGGTCCCCGGATGAGGACGAGAGACTCCGAGAAGCCGTTGCACAGTATGGCACCCGCTGGGTGGTGGTTGCCGCGGCCGTGGCGACCCGCAATGGTGATCAATGCGCTAAGCGGTGGAACGAGAATCTGAACCCCGATCTCGACCACAGTCCATGGACGCCACAGGAGGTATGTAGGTGAGGAACGCAGTACTGCAAGAAGCCGAAGCACGACTATCATCATCTTCAAGCACTCCGGCTAATTGCCAGTCCCACAGGATCAACTTCTCCTGCAGCTCGTCGACATCTACGGCCGCAACTGGAAGTTCATGGCCAACAGCTTCCTTGGGTCTCGTGCCCCACAAGCCCTCAAAAACCGCTACTCGTTGCTGATGCGACGGTTGAAACGTCGGGGCTCAATCTCCAAGCAACCCCGACCGCTGTCATCCTCCGCTACCACCATTACCACTGTCACAACCGCTACAGACAGCGTCAACAAGCAGCAGACCCCTTTCACGCCATACTTCGATCTGGGGATGGACCCCCGCGCCACGGGGATGCTGCCCACCCCGACCGAGGAAAGCAGCGGCAGCAGCGGCAGCACCTCGTACGCGAGCTCGCATCACAGCTCCATCTCCGAGGGGAGCAAGCCGACGACGCGTCCCAGCAGCCGTTCCAATTCTTACATGGACCTAACCAACATCTTCGGCACGATGACCGGCACCGCCTTCGGTGACGACGTGCAGTACCAGACCCACGACCTCTTCACCACGCCGCCCAGCACCACCGTGCTGATCCCCGGCGGCGGGGACGGAACGACAGGTACGCATCATTCGTCGGACGCCAATCAATTAGAATGGGAGGTCTGGCAGAGCTTGATCGACCCCGGCTCCGGCGAGACGACCATCACCACCACAACCACCACCAATTCCTCCTCCCGAAGTACTACCAGCAGCGGCAGTGAGTCGGAGAAGTCCACCCCCGACGCAGCCCCGGGCTTGGTGTCCACCCCGCAGCCGATGGACCTGACCACCGGGTTAGTAGCCCCGGCCAGTACGGTGCTGGATAACCATGGGATCGAGTACTCGGTACGATGTTCGCGGGCCAATCTCAAGAAGCTGATGCACAACCTTTGCGATGCGGCCATCTTGGAGACTAGTGCCGCCATGTCGGAGGGGGATCAGGTCACCCTGACTTTACATCTGAAGACCTGATCTTTGGGGTTTGTTTTTTTCCTTTTGTTGTTGATGAGCTCATGATACCTGTTTATAGTCGTCAGATCTTGACTTGATTGCTTTGCTCTTTGGCGTTCTTTGTGTATGATATCTTTAGCGAGGCTTTCGTCTCGTACCCTTTTTATGTTTGGTGTTGCATTCCAGATGAGTGTATCTGTGCACATGAGGTTTATGATAGAGTATATACTAATTTTTCTCACGCTTGATTAATGAATGCTGGGATGGAAGTAAGCGCTAAGCTCCATTGAGAAGTAGGTCACTACATGGATCCATGATCTGAGCCTAGAGCGGAGTAGGCCGAACCCTCATCATCAGTCTTAAGGACGACTGGCCAGACCTGAAACTCCGCACCCAGCCAGGGAGGGGCAAAAAACTAAAGCGGGCAGTAGATGAAGCGGGTCCGTTCTTTCAGGACTGCCTCGACTGCACTGCCGCCCTTAGAGCACGTGATCTTCCCCCAGAGAGTTCTAGGCAGCACTCCCAATCGCCCTCCAGCTTGCTCCTTATGACGAAATGCGACGGCTTCACACCGCCGCTCCTTCATGAAGAATCCAAAGCGACTCAGCTGGATTACTCAGCGGAACTGAGGGTGATAATTTGGGGGAGATAGAATAGCCAGCCGTCTCTGCCGTTCCTGTGATTCTGATTGATTCACGGATTATATTTCTTTGTCAATATTCATTGATTACAAAAGAAAAGAAAAAAGAAGAACGGTTGGTAGAATCCGAGGTATGATTCGGCTGCGTGGTGTTCGATGATATTCAGGCACTACAATTAGTTGGACAGGACACGATCCGATGAAGCTGTCAGACGTCCTCCGGAGTAATGACCTCTGCCAAGCCGTCCAATTGCGACAGTAGCAGACGAGACCTTCACTAGCTGCAGAATCGGTGTGTGCATAGGTAAACCTTGGCCGCCACCAGAAAGGGAGCATTGGTTATTGACTAAGTGTCGATAACTAAAGTCACGTCCGTCGTCTGGGGCCGCCATCAAGGGTCGGGCTGGTCTAGGTCTCCCGAACGAAAGTTCTCCCTTGTCTGTACGACGCCGCAGCACTTCGCGTGGATGGGTATCTTTACTGCCAAAATCTGATTAGGCCGAATAAGAGTAAGGTAGAAATAGAGGATATTCTAAGTGAAGAACTTAAGGATACTCTTATGCATTCTGAACTTCAGAGGTATCAACACCGTACTATGACTTTTCCCCAGCCAAAGACTATGCAAGTACTAGTACTAGGGAGAAGATACAATACCAGATATCCTAAATGTGAACGAGAACGACTACCGAAAATAAACAATCCAGGACGAAGATAAAAGCTCCAAAGCACCTTGTGGTGCCAAGGGAAGTCTATGGAGGGAGGCTAAGGGAGACCATGGATTACAGGGGATTTGCTTATCGACAAACAGACAGTCACCCTACCTAAAGTAAATATAACCAATAAGAAAAATAGACAAGTAGAGCCGACCCCTGTGAGCAGCGGCAGTGAAATGAAGAAGAATAACGCGAGCGACTGCAGATTATATAAAAGCTTTCCACGCTTCCCATAATAACCATCTTAAACATCATAGCAACCCTCAAGTCCCATCAATAAATATATTCGCACTTTCGCAATCAGAATACAAGATGTCCTCCTGGTCACCAGAAACAATCATTGCACTTGTCACACTCATTGCTACTGCTCCTTCATCGTTACTCGTGTTCTGGGATTTCTACGATCGTCATTATCGCCGCCGACACTACTCTCCGCAGCTCCACCATGGTTTGTTAGACCCATAGTCTGGTTCTACTCCGTAGTATCCCTCAGATCTAAGCTAATTATTTGTTGACCTTGTTCGTGTTTTGTAGATCCAGTTCCCGTCCACCCAAGATCTGTCGAATCTACCCCGTCAGACTTCATCGCGCATCTACCACCTGAAGCACCAATTTTTTACTTTCGAGACATTGATGTACAAATGGTTCGTGGTGGCTTCCTGTCTCTTAGTGGGTGCGGGATTCATGGGCGGTCGGGTTCCATGGATAATTGCTGATGGATGATGATTGCAGCATATACGGCAGTTGGGCGCACATGTTGAGCGTTCCTAAAGTCGACTTCGGAAATCGCAATGTGTCGAGGAACGTGAAAGATGATGGATTCCCCTATCTAATCGGAGAATGACCTCACTTTTCACTGCAGCTCAGCCACGGCGGGCTGGGGTTAAGCGGCCAATCAGGTGCCACCAGGCACTCTGACACAATGCTCGCGACAGGCTGAATCTTGGGACATACTCATATACTTCTTTTTCTCCATCCCTTATTTCTTTTCCTTTTCGATTACAGGTCACCGATAGAAAGGTATTTATACTGGTAATACTGCATTGGCTTGGATGTTTTGGGTTGTCGGTCGGGTGTGGCGTCATGTGGGACGGGAAGGTCATTACGGATGTCCAATAGATATGAGCGCATGGTGTATAGGTTAACACGGAATAGGGTTTGTATTCAGCTTATACTATTTGAATTCTTGGAGAGGGAATTAGATTTGGTTGTGCACTAGGAATAAATGACCAACGTGTGGCTTTGATGAGCATTTTTGTGTCTTGGTGCTTGAACGGACGAATTCGGCCGAATTCATCCGAGTCTCTCTTGAAGCCATTCGGACGGATTCGTCCGGCTGTCGAAGATATATATGAGATTGAGCGTCTACAACAAAGGTTCCCTCAACTTTTCCGGTCACTTAAAATTATTGAAAGCTTTTCGTCTCCTTACCTCTCCCCAATGCCTCACGCGCCCCCAAGAAAGATTATTGTCATCCTCGGAGGATCGTACGGTGGTGTCTCGACGGCGCACTACCTGCTCAAACATGTCATACCCAAGCTGCCCACCCCGGAGCTTTATCAAATCATCCTTGTGAGCGCATCATCCCAAGCCATGTGTCGACAAGCCTCCCCGCGTGCCCTGATCTCCGACGAGTATTTCGACCAGACAAAACTTTTCGTGGACATCCGCAGCATGTTCGCCCACTACCCCGATGGCAGCTTTCGGTTCATACATGGAACAGCCACTGCGGTCGCGCACATTGACAGAAACGTTTCAATCGCCGTGTCCTCGGACGGAGGATATGAGACAATCGCATAACACGCCCTCGTCATCGCCACCGGCGCATCTACGCCCTCCCCCGCTCTCGGACTCAACCAAGACGCCGTCCACCTCCGGAAAAGCTGGTCAGCTATCCGACAGACCCTACCGCACGTCAAAAATATTGTGATTGCAGGTGGTGGACCAGCAGGTGTAGAAACAGCCGGTGAGCTGGGAGAGTACCTGAACGGGCGCCACCCTAGCGGGTGGTTGCCCTTCGGACGCAGCCCGAACCAGCCCCCGAACGTACAAATCACCCTCGTCACATCCGCCTCCAGACTTCTTTCGGCCTTGCGTCCGGCACTGGCGATCAAAGCCGAGCGTTTACTTGCTGAAATTGGCGTGTCAGTCATCAAGAACGCCCGCGTGCAGAGTGTCCATCCTGACAATGCCGGTCAGGATGCAGTGGCTGCGACGGTGACGCTGGAAGACGGGCAGACGCTCCCTGCCGATTTGTACATTCCTGCTACAGGTACGAAGCCTAATACCGGCTTTCTGGATCTGAGTCTTTTGGCTTCGGATGGTCGAGTCGAGACAAGTTCGACGCTGCGCGTGGAGAATGCGGGGGAGAGGGTCTATGCGATTGGGGATGCGGCTTCGTACGCGGCGCGGCCGTCAGTGCATGGGATTCTGCAGGCTGTGCCGAGACTTTGTGCTAACATCAAGCGGGATTTGTTGTTGGGTGAGAATGGAGGAGCAGGCGGTGGTGGTGACGGAGGTTCGGTGTTCAAGGAGGATACGCGCGAGACACAGATCGTGCCGATTGGGACGGCTGGGGGTGTGGGAGTGATAATGGGATATAAATTGCCCGGGTTTATGGTTTGGCTGTTCAAGGGGCGAGATTATTTTCTGTGGACGACGAAGAAGATTTGGAGTGGAGAGCAGTGGGATTAACAAGTTTGACTATTGGTCTGATGGATTGAGCAGTTAGCAAGTCTGCAGTACGTACGAACATGGGAGTACAGTACTTGATAAGTTGTTAAATATTCAAAACTTTGGAAACCGTGCATAAATAAAATTGTAGCTGGTATATACTAATTCTTCATATAATAAATGAAAAGGAATTTCTTTTTCATTTATTACTTACTACCAAAGAGCGGCACATTGAGCGCGGAGTTTACCCAGGGCCTTGTGGCCGTGCGCACAGACCTTCCGCAGACAACTATATCCCACCTACTAACCGAAACAGGTAGACAATCTTGCGCGCGCAAGATTGTCTACCTGTTTCGGTTAATTAGTAGCTGACCTCTATATCTTGTCAAGTGGTGCCACGCTCATCGTGTACAGGAATAACCCGTTGGTCAATCTAATTAGCAAAATCTGATTAATTACAGCACTTTGGGATTATCAGGTGTTTCAATATGAGGTCAGGCGTCGTATGGTTAGTAGTCGTACTTATAGTGTACATAGTACATTTTTACTCAGTAGATCCACTGTCCAGTGAAGATTGTTTACCTACCTAGTAACTTACTTCGACCGAGAGTCTAGATTGATTGATGCATAATTAGAAAGCCATAGAGCAACCGACTAATGCACGGAGCTGCGGGTCCGTGCGGTCCCCGTGTCTTTATATGCGCAGCTACCCTCCCATTTTTTACAACCGATCAACCTTAAACCAGGCACAAGTTTACTGGGCTCGATCTTTCTCCTCTTTCAATACATCGCATCTGACTATGGTGACCGAGACGCGCGAGGCTCGCCTCACTGGACACAGAAGAAGAGTCCGCAAAGGAACCCATAGCTGCCGGGAATGTTTGTTTGTGGGCCTAAGGCTTTGACGGGTTAGCACTGATTATGTGGCTTAGGTCGACGACGAAAGATACGATGTCAATTTGTCACGTCCAGTGACTCTGTCTGTGTTACTTGTAGTGCCAGGGGGACTCCCTGCGTCAGTCGGGATCTCGTGGAGATTGACACTGACAGATCACCTTCAGAAGAGCCACCACGGCGAGACGGAGAGGTTTTGGACCGTCTAAAACGGCTGGAGGAGATTGTTCAGAACCTTGCTGGAGAAATAAGGGGGCTTTCGAACTCATTAGCAACTAATGGAAGATCTGCGAGCTCGGAAAGTTCACACCGAACTACCATGCCACTTTCACGAGGAGCTCGACCCAATACCCATACGACTATCGATGATATTCCCAGTTCGGGGACCGTGGAAGAAACTCCCATGGGAGCCATGCTGGGAATCCGGGACATCCTGAACACGCCTCAACCATCTCAAGTTGAGAGACCGGTGCACACGCATCGGTATCTCAAGCACGAAAGGCTCTGCATCACATTGTTTGACCTCCTACCACCCCCCGAAGTTACGATGGCATTGGTGGTGGCTAGCCCCGGAGCAACACTGGTTTCTACGCTCTTCCACACATCCCAAGAAATATCCCAGGGCCGGTTTCAGAAGCTCACAGCTATTGCCATGCACTCTTTCAGAGAGTCTCACCCAATCGTTCTCGCGAAGCGGCTGCTGCAACTGGCAATTTGCGTGCAGCAACTCCCACCTGAATGCAATTACCTATCTCTTGAGACTCAAACGTCTCTGAAGGGCGCAGCTGCGGAGAATGTCAACACCGTAATGGAGCTGGTGACTTCGCGTGATGACCTGACTTTTTCCCCCGATGGCGTGGAATGTCTTGTGCTGCTTGCCTTATTTCAGCTTAATGCTGGAAACCTGCGACGGAGCTGGTTGACTGTTCGTCGCGCTGTCAATGCTTCACAGCTTCTGGATTTACGCGATGGAATCCTAACGCACTTCTCCACCCACGATAAGACCATTCCTCCTGGGATGGGAGTCTCTCCCCGGTGGCTATGGTATCGCGTGGTATTCTTCGACAGATACCTCTCGCTAATGCTTGGTCGACCCCCAGGTGTGCAGGATAATACGTTTGCAGATTTCACATCTAGTAATAGCCAGGACACGAAGATGGAACGCCTCGAAAAGACCCAGACAGTTCTCACCGGGCGCATTCTCGAGCGCAACGCAATGAATAAAAAAGATAATCTCGAGGCCTTCTCGTTAACTCAACTCATCGACGGAAAACTCGATACAGCAGCCGAGGAAATGGGCTTGGAGTGGTGGAAGCTGCCTTCAATCAAGAAGCAGGACCTGACTTCCAGCTCTCATGTCTTGCTCCAAATTCATCACCACACGTTGAAACTCTATCTTCACCTACCTTACCTGCTTCGGCGTGAGTCTAGTTTTAGTAGTGGCCGACAAGGCGGACGCTACGACCACAGCCGGGCCTCGTGCGCCACATCCGCCCGATCGATCCTGCGACTGTTCGTCCCGTACCGTACGCTCCATCCCTCAGCGGCTGCTTGTCGTCACGTCGACCACAGTGCGTTAATCGCCGCTATGACGTTGTTACTGGGATACGTGGCTGACCAGCCACCTCACCTCGAGGCAGGCCACCCCAACCCGGACGCGCAGCGGCGAGAGGACCTTCAGCTGGCACAGAGCGCTCGGGACAGGCTACACCTTGTGGCCGAGACGTGCAAGGACGAAATCTCTCGGGACTTTGCAGCTCTCATCGCGCGGTTGATCCCCCTCATACGTTCCAGAGATAGTGGTTTTAGTCGGCGGGGACTAGTTGGCGAGGATCCGGAAAGGCCATGGATCACCTTTTATGTTCCGTACCTCGGAACTATTTATGTTCGACCGTGGGCTTTGAATTCCATAAATTTCAGCATAGACCGGGTCATGACCACGCTGTCGGAAGTTGCCCCTGGGATCGATTCCCAGGAATCATCGTATGACATCAATTGGCCAGGCGTGAGCAGCAGCGGCTCCGCCAGGCCAGTCGCGGACCCGGAGCTCGTACCGAAACCGGGCCTTTCTTCCACGCGGCAGACCGAGAATACCCTTTCCCAGGATGCACCTGAAGACATATTACAGGCCGATGATGATAGTAGCGCTACATCTGAACCGTCAGCGTCTCTATTCTTCGATGCAGATCTGTCCTCGGAAATGTGGCCTCTGCAAGGTATTGAGACAAACTTTTGGGAGTTGTTACAGCAGGGAATAAGTGATGATCTTAGCACCTGAGGATATCATAGCCCGCCAGACTTTAGTCTCCCTGTAATATTTCCTCAGCTGAGTGATGATAGTGATCGCCGATTTGATATGATAGTATGGAAACCTGACCTGTTTATGAAGGGTTACCGCTCGAGATGTAAGAAGTCACGCAGTGCAAATCCGAGTACCCATTTTATGATTACCTGCTGACATAAAAGATGTTAGAAAATCAGAGGCCCGGTGGTTTATTCCAGACAGTTCGAGCTCCCCTAGCAAACAGGTTGAAATGTGATAACGGTATTCATCAAGAAGTCATGAACCTTTCACTCCTCCACTCATCAATTCAACGCACTTCCCGCTCGGAAATACCCAATCTGCTCCTCAGTGAACGTATGCTGCAATTCCACCCCCCAAAGATCCCCTTGTCCTGAAGCCACCTGCAGCGTCAAGTTCTTCCCCGGCGCCAACTCCGCCAAACCGCGGATACTCACACGATCTGATGCGTGAATGCGATCATAGTCGGCCTCATTTGAAAACGTCAGCGCCAACATACCTTGCATCTTCGGATTTGTCTCGTGGATCCGGGCAAACGACTTGGCGATGATGTCCACCCCGCCTAGATAGCGCGGCTGCAACGCGGCGTGCTCGCGCGAGGAACCCTCGCCGTAATTGTGGTCGGCGATGACCACCCACGGCTGGTCGTGGCTCTTGTAGTACCGCGCCGTGGCGGGGACTTCTTGGCTTTCCTCGCCGGTGAGCTGGTTACGGATGGAATTGACCTGTCCCGTCTCGGCATTGACGGCGCCGATTGGTGTGTTGTTGGAGATGTTCTCTAGGTGGCCGCGGTAGCGGAACCAGGGGCCTGCAGGAGTGATGTGGTCTGTTGTGCATTCTGGTGTGCATTTGCCCTTTGTCTTGATGAGAATGACACAGTCATCGAGGTCTTTGCCGTGTCAAGGTTCGAACGGGGCGAGCCGTTGCAGGCGCTGGGAGGATGGCAAGGTCTTGACTTCCAGGTTGTCTCGCTTGCTTGGGGGAGCGAGGTAGGCGGAGCTGGACTTTTTGTAGCCGTCCTTGATGCAGTCGATGAAGAAAGGATCCGTCGCGGCCGGTTTCGCCTACTGTGTTCTCAGGCATATTATTGCTACATCGGGGGTTAAGGGGCTCTTCCGGAGTGTGGTGCCCCGGGTTGGCGTCGCGGCTTGGGCGACGATATGTATGGTTGGGTTTGGGGATACGGTTAAGGAGTATGTTATGGTTGTGATTTGGGGCACAAGATTAGATTTTTTAGGTTAATTGCTCGGATAGTTCAGTAGCATGTTTATGACTCTTTTGAAATGTGTATAGCTCGTTCTTTTGAGATTTCTATGAGTTGGCGGTGAATAAACCATCTCGCAATGTAGTAAGACCCTCATCCTATGACACTCATGGCACGCAACGTATATCCCTGGAGTACATTCCGGCATTTGACCAACGTTTCTTAATGTTTAAGACTTTATAGACAGCATCCACTATCATTAAAACTACAGAAGCATTTGCTCCCAGTAATAGTCAGGCAGCTATGTGACACAGTCTTGTAGAATATTTTTCTAGCTATGGGATGGAATAGGATACTTGCCATCAGAGCCCTGAGCACGGATTCTGCGCAACACCACACCGAAAAGTGGATGAGTCAGCTACCAGCCACAATTCGGCTATTGCCCATCATCTCGGGATGTCATTCCTTCCGGCATCGACCATTCCAAGGACTTCGGTGACTTCAAGAGACCGCTTTCACTTTTATTCGCCAGATATCCAAAAATCCAATGCTAAATCTGTGAACATGACTGAAGATTCTCCAGGCTCTGTTCCGCGGCGCCACCGTCGCGGTCTTACCCGCAGCGCGGCCGCCTGCCAGCGATGCCGCAGGCGGAAGCAAAAAGTTAGTCATGCGCCTAGCCTTTGAGATCAGATCGACCCACTGACTGGTATGACAGTGTGACGGAAGGCTACCGACATGCGGTCCGTGTGCTGCTGCCGGAACGTCCTGTGTGATGCGCAATGTGAATGTGACGACCTGCGAGCGCGCCTGGCGACCGCGGAACGACGGTGCAGTGACCTTCTGCAAGAGAACCAGCGGCTCCAGGTGCAAATCATGGAAGCTTTCCAGTCCCCTGGACCGGTCGCTCTTGAGCCCCGGACGCCGATGCTGTCTGTGGCGAAGGAGGCAGGGCACAGCACCACCAGTTTAGGGCCGCAGCCACAGCACACTCCCTCAGACGGCACGATGAACTTGGCCCTTCAGCACTGCGAGCGCATTCTGCGTCCGACTTTTGCCAATCGACCTGGTATGCAGAAGATGAATCGCAGCACGCTGAGTGGCGCCTGGGAATTGTGGGGTGACGATACGAGTGTCGAAGTGCCCCTGAGCAGCGCGGTCGAGATCAGTCACGAGACGTATGTCAGTCTCGCTGAGACCTTCTTTGATCGGCGGTGGCCGTACCTGCCTGTCCTCCATCGGCCGACATTCTGGGAGCAGCACCTCAATCCGTTCTTGGCACACCCCGAGGCTAGTTCGATTTCGAAGTTTTTCGTCAAGATTGTGTGTGCAATCGCCGCCACGGAGCGGACTTGTCAATTGAGTAACGATGATATGCATCGAAAGCTCTTCAAGGATGCTGTCAAGGACTTGGAGCTGACTACGAAGGCTGGCAATCTTGAGTATATCCAGTGCCTGCTGCTGCTCTCAATGTATGGGCACAATGAGCCGCAGTCGGTCAATATGTGGTATACCACGGGAATGGCGCTGCATTTGGCGATTGGGATGGATCTACATCGCAAGGAGAGTCTGATGGGACAGGACGTGCTGCAAGCGGAGATGATGAAGCGGATCTTCTGGTGCGCCTACGTGATGCAATGCAGTATGGCCATCAACATGGGTCGGCCCTTGATGATCGAAGACTCTGATATCACGATTGCTTTGCCACTCCAACGAACAGACCAACAACTGAGTGATCAGATGGCTGGGATCGACGAGCTCACAATTACGAGCGTGACTGACATGTCCACTTTCAATCATATCATCGCACTTCGCCAGATCAACGCCGGGGTCTACAAGCAATTCCACCCCAGAGGCAGCGTGGGGGGAAGCCGATTGGATCTGGATCAACTACGAACTCGGTACAACTTTGAGCTAAACCAGTGGCTAATCACTGCTCCCCGATATGTCCACAGCCTGTCAACCTTCCAGTCGACCGAATGGTTCCAGATCGCTTTTCATCACGCGATGCTCTCCCTCTATCGTCCTTCCCGGGAAATTCCAATTCCTCTTCCTGACGACCTACGCATCTGTCTCGAGTCTGCGATCGGACTCATTAGTTCGTACAGCGCGCTGTATGCGCGGAACCGCATCAAGTACACCTTTATCGCGATCCATTCGCTTCTGATGGCCGCGGTGACTATGCTGTACTCGCTGCGAGCTTCTGCGTCGTTGCGGCAGGAGCTGACCAAGCCAGTCGTGCAGACCAATATCCAGACTTTTCTCACTCTCTTTCGTGGGATATGCAATGGTCGCGAGGTGGGCGAGAAGTGTTCCCAGATCGTCGAGCGGCTGGGGAACTCCATCTTGACGCTCTATGACGATACCGGTCGCACGGACGCAGAAGTCGATACGGAGTTCCAGTCGTGGTTTGGACTCCAAACGCATACGCCTGCTCAAACGGATGAGGCGCAGTCGCACACTATATCGCCGCATTTCCCCGACGTTCGGGTGGATCTGCCGTGGGCGGACCTGTTCACGGAAGGTATCAACATGGCTTCCACGGATGTGTGGAGCATCTTTTCTTAGAGATCTGATCTGAGCATTTCCAAAATGGTGAGCAATGTGCCAGGTTCTAGGTACTGCTCCTTTAGGGCTCTGGGGTTGTCTGTCAACGATCGCATGTACGGGTATTTCCGATTACCAGGAAAATGACCACAAGGTTCATTGAGTGTCCGCGCGCCTACAGTTCCTCAGGCTTGAATCATCTAGCGCCATTGAAGGTCTCGTGACTCGTCTGATCAGCGACCCGGAATTCAACAAGCCGCGGGCTTGATGGGAAACCCGACCGTCAGTCAGTCTGGAGCCTCTCCATATTAGCCGAAAATGGGCAAGAGCTGAAAGCTAAGCAAAGGAATACGAGCGGGCGAGCTCCTTTTCATTCCGAAGGATTATGTTTTTGCGACGAAAGGCCCCCCGATTACCGGTAATTTACGGGAAGCTTACAATGCTGCAATGCGCGCAGGGGCGGCGGCTGGTGTGGGATCTTGGTACGCGCTACGTAACCAGTACGGCCCGCCGGTGCGGGCCGGTTCTGTCGGAAGACGGGGACTTCGCACCAAATCAACCAGTATGCACTGCTTTAGTTGCCCGTCGCTGCAGTAACTTTCCGTTATTGTCGAATCAAAGTCGAAAGAATAGTGGTCTTATGCGGAGTCAGAGTCAGGCTCGGGTTGAGTCTATGCTTGTTTAGGACCGACGGGGGGCGCACATTAGGCCCGGTTTGCCGTATACTGTATACATCGTACGGTTGCTGATGCAGTTATCATGGAAGGTGCTTTCCTCTTCGCGATCCCGCGTCTGATAAGATGTCTTGATTCGTTTTTATCTGAATACACTCTGAGAAGAACAAAGTGATTGAGAATGTTCGAAACTTTCGATGAATTTTCTTCCCCAGACAGCATGAAGTGCAAGAGCAATCAATAACTTGTTTCTGCATGAAAGTCTCAATCTTGATTAAAGCGACTCGCATGGCGAAAATGAACGACCAGGGAAACAAAGAAGACAGCCGCATAATCAATCAGAATCCAAAGTGCAAGTCAAAGTCAAACAGTCTATAGGCCCAAGCGACAAGAAAAGACAAGAGATGAAAACAGAACACCGAATGCCAAAGTAAAAAAGAAGAAGATGGAGTCGTCATGTTGTTGTTGTTTGGTTGCTCATCCCATCCCAGCTGTTCAAACAGCAAGCTTGGTTCGCGACAACTTGCCACCTGGGCCGTATCCCTTGTCCGCCATCTCGATGAACAGATCTTCCAGGGCCTCCGGGGTGTCCTTGACTTCGTGGCCGAGCTCGCGGAGTCGGTTGATCAACTTGCTCGAGTCGAAGACCGGGTGGCACCGCGGCGCCTTGAGCACCTTGTGCATGTCGTCCAGCTCGAAGTTCTCCCAGTTCAGGGAGGGCTCGATGTACTTCTTCATGAGCGTCATGATCTGGTTGTTGGTGAATGGCGAGGGGGAGATCTGATTGTCGCATGTTAGTATGGGGGCGCTTGCTAAGGTAAGAGGAAGCAGAAGAGCGTCACGCACCAGGTTGTAAATTCCCGTGTCACCGGCTTGGGACAGGAGAATTGCGCCGGGCAGAAGATTGGGGAGAATGGTTCCGGACTGTGTGTGCGTGGGTCAGTCCATGAGTCTTTTTCTCGAAGTTGGAATCGAAGCATACCGCAGGCAAGTTCACCAGCTTCTTGTAGCTGATCAGCTTGGTGGTCAAATTGTTGGGGTTGAAGTCGGCCGCGATCGGGGCGCGGATTCTCAAGAGGAGGAGGTTGGGGTAGTGCTTGATGCTCTGTTTTCGGAACTGGTTAGTACTTGTCTTCATTCTTTTCCTGTGTCCATGCAGACGCACATTCTCGCTCAATAACCGCGAGCACGAGTACCAGGACCCGGCGTAGTTGGGATCATCCTCCTCGGTGAAGTTGGCGTCCGGGGCGCGGGTCGGGTCGGTGTCATAGATACAAGCCGATCCTAGCTGAGTAACATGGATACCTAATTGGAAGCAGCAGTCGACTACGTTGAGCACACCTAGGATATTGGATCGCACCGTCTCGATCTTGTGGTCCTCACACCAGTCGGCGTTGGGGAGCCCGCGCAGGCCCGCGCAGTTGATCACCCGCGTGGGCCTGTGGATGGCGAGCGCACTGTTTTGGGGGATGTCTCGAGAGGTTAGCATTCTGTGCAAAGTTTTTGAACATGTTTTTGGTTGATGGTCCCCACGGCGAGAATGGGTTGGTTTTGGATTAGAGGAGGAGGGGGATTTTTCTTGCGCACGTTAAGACTTGCTCGCGACTTTCAATTCGAGCATCAGAGGAAACCACTTTCACGCCTTGCTTCTCCAGGAGTTCCTTGATTTGCGTGGCGATCCAGCCGGTGCCTGTTTTTTTCGGGGGAAAGTAAGCCGTTGATCTTTGTTGAAGTAGAAGTTATACGACACTGGGAGAGGGGGAAACGTTCGCAGAGGTATATTACCGAAGATCAGGAAAACATGGGGCTGGTCAATAGCAATAGCCATGATGGTTGAAATTGGGCTTGTTTTTTTGGGGGTGGAGGGAGGTTGAGAATTGGTTTGAATGAGGGGGGGGGGAAGCGATTGATCGATCGGAGGGTTGATGTTAAATATGAGGGCTGTTGTCACTGTGGGATGGATTGGAAGGGGCTGATCTGCTGTGGATGGATGGATGTTGAAGAGTGCGAGCTGATCGGGACTCTTATATTCAGTAGCAATCGCAATGCGAGAGCATCTTTGCCACTTGACGACGGAGGAGGAGCAAAGGCTAGCCTTGCCTGGTATACCGCTTGCGTAATCTAAATCTGTGTTGACTCCGGTGGGCACGAGTAACCACTAGACAAGTAGAACAGAGTAGAGATGACTGCGGATGGCAGGTTTGACTGGGTTTTTTTTGTCTGGTTGAGATGAGAGAGATGGATGAATTGAAGTCCAGATTCAGGGAAATTGACTCTGACGTACTAAGTCAGAAGAGAAAGGGTGTCAGACCAGCCCAGCCCAGACCAAGAAGAGCCCCTCAGCACGTGGCGTCGCCCTAAGCGTGAGCCCTAGTCTATCCGCGGGGTATTCGCTGAAGATTCACCTCCAGTTCTAGTCGGAGTCATGCAGAGTCGACAGGAATCCCTTCCTGAGGCTGGAAACATACTCAGCATACTCAGCCCACTCTTATTCCCGTTGCTTGGGAAAACGGCATCAAAGATGAAGCCATTGTTGGTTATAAAAACAACCTGGATTCGGCCCCTACCCTGGCCTTTTTCTTCATCATCATCCAACAAAACAAGCTAAGGCAAGCAACAAAGCCTCAGTCTCAGAAAAACAATTCGCCTTCTTCTTTAGCTTTCACTTCAAGTACAGCCTTCATTCCTTCATTCTTCCTGCAATATCTTCAACCTTCTACCTTCACTTTACTCCACACATCAATCAAAATGCAGGCCAAGGGATTGTCTCTGAAGGTCGCTCAGCTCACCCCTCCCGAGAGCCCTCCCCCGGAGACCGTTGAGCTGGTCAAGCAGGCTATCACCACTTCTTTCGAGCCCTCCAGCCACGAGGAGAGCCAGCGGCTCGTCGGTACTACCCGGTTCGCCCCTCGTCGCGACATCAACAACATCCTGATCACCGGTGGTGCCGGCTTCATCGGCAGCTGGGTCACTCGTCACATGACCGTCCAGTACCCTGAGTACAACATCATCTGCTTTGACCGTCTGGACTATGTCTCCTCGATGGCCAACATCGACTGTCTGGAGTCCTTCCCCAACTTCCACTTTGTCAAGGGCAACTTGACCGACCGTGAAATCGTGGCCGAGACCCTGTCCAAGTACAACATCGACTGTGTGATGCACTTTGCCGCCAACTCCCACGTGCAGAACTCCTTCCTCGATCCCACCAGCTTCACTGTCAACAACGTGGTCGGCACTCAGACTCTTCTGGACTGCGTCCGCGAGCACGGCCGCGTCGCTCGCTTCGTCCACGTCAGCACGGATGAGGTCTACGGTGAAACCACCGACGACTTCGTCGACGAGACCACGCAGTTCCTGCCCACCAACCCCTACTCTGCATCCAAGGCCGCTGCCGAGATGTACGTCCACGCTTACGCCAAGTCCTTCGGCATCCCCATGGTCATCGTCCGCAGCAACAACGTCTACGGACCTTGCCAGTACCCCGAGAGTCAGTAGCCCCATTGGTACTCAATCTTTGACCCCGCTCAGATAGCTAACCCCCTACATGCAGAGATCATTCCCCGCTTCTTCAAGCTTCTCTCCAAGAACCAGCCCCTCACCCTCCAGGGCAACGGTCTCCACAAGCGCCGCTACCTGTACGGCGCCGACGCTGCCGACGGGTTCGACACCATCCTCCACAAGGGTGTCGACGGCGAGGCCTACAACATCGGCTCGGCCTTCGGTGTGACCAACCTTGAGGTTGCCATCCGCATGCTCGAGCTGTTCGGCTTCGACCCCCGCTCCGACTTCAAGGAGCGCCTGGTCTGGATCCCCGACCGTCCCCACAACGACCTCGACTACCGCGTCGACGGCTCCAAGCTCGAGAGCCTGGGTTGGCGCCAGAACACCCACTTCGAGGATGGCCTCCGCGCCACCGTCGAGTGGTATCGCAAGAACATCGACGTCTGGTGGGCCGATGAGCCCAACAAGACCGTCTCCGCCAGCAGCACCAACGCCGCCCACATCGCCGCCCCGGTCCACCACCACCAGGCCCCGATCAAGGTCAAGAGCGAGAACGCCCAGGTCACGATCACTGCGACTGAGATCACTGCTTAGAGTGCCATCTCTCTGGTGGAAAATATGGAGGAGAAGTATATTACTAACCATGGAAGGAAGGCTTATAGACTTTTCTTTTTCCCACTCACAGCCTTCCGAAAGAAATTTTGCCCTGCTATAGATTGTTTGCGATACTCACTGATTGGCGATGATTTTTCTTTTCTACTCTTATTTTTGGTTTGATCTTTGATTCTTGTTCATCTTTAACCTGCCCTATTTTTGCCTTACTTGCTTATGTCTTCGACATTGTTTGCGATGATGATCTGTTTTGACTTTGTGTCTTGGACTTGCCCCCTGTTGCTTTTTTTACCCCGGGCCTAATGATCTCTCTTATGTTGTTTATGTTCCTTACTCAAGAAGATTAGATGTTTGTGTAACAATTCGATTTTTATTCTTTGAGGATTATGATCTGGTTTGAGTTCGTAGCTTCTAGAATTTATGCACCGCTATCTTTTTCTTGTAACTGTCCTGGTCGGCTGAATGCAAGTTGCCAAGAAGTTCACCGTTGATTGAGGGTGAACTTGGATAAAACAGAGTCTGTATATCTATCTCTCATTATGAATAGTGTCTTTGTAAGTGAATTTCTGAAATGAGACTATCTGTCCAATTATTATTGGGTTTCTTGCAAGTTTTGAGTCAGTTAGCTGAGCTGTAGGTTAACTGGCCAAAGACGGTATACACTTTAGCTTCTGAGTCGAGACGAGTTATTGTCAATTTTTCATCATTATATATCATTTTCTGCTGGCTTGAGCGTTCAGATGTAGAGTTACGAGGGTCATCGGCTGTAGATAGATCAAAACATGGTGTGGGTGCTTGGTGGAGTGTACTTTACTTGGGTCACGCGCGAAAATAAAGTTGTGGTATGGCCACAGATCTGAGAATATATATCTATATATATATACTGAGCATGTGTCGACTCTTGTAACTTGGGAATATCTGCTTGTAAATTAATCTAGATGCCTCCATTGTAGGTCTACTGAAGCTGATAGATATGTGAGAATTAGGTCAGTGCCCATTCTATTCTAACAATGTGATTTGAATCTGCAGGGACGGATTCTGCGTAGCGACCGGAATTCAAGAAACAGTGGCACGTTCTTCAGGATATCTTCCGCTATCTCAGACCCCTGGCTGAATGCTACACTAGGCTGTTTGTGTCTAATCAGCTATGCAACAGATTTATTCAGGTAGTTAATTTCACTAGGGATTGTGCAGGCTGCAGGATGTAACACGTGACCATGTACTTTTGGCCGCCGAAAGAGGGAAAGAGGGGGGCTCTGCATTGTCCAACTCTTCAACACCGGCTTTGTTTCACTTTGACTCTTCAACAAATCAACCTCTGTCAATCCCCATTGTCCCTTTGCCACCTTCACCCCACGTTCAGGGCTAGATCCTGTGTCGGACTCAGGATTTGATCAGACTCTCCCGAGCGGGGTTGATATTCCTTATCGTATCAACCCCGAAGTCCGCGCAAAGGAGCGGAAGGGGGCGGGGTTCTTCCTTATCGGTCCGTCACGGTGGAATAGTCTGACACCAAAGACACGAAGGATCTGAATCCTTCCTTCTGCACCTTTGCCATTCATCCTTCATCCTTCCACCATCGAGCCATCATCATCCACTATGGTCAGTCAACTCAGCCTGGGTTTGACTCGACTCAACTCAACTCCGACTCGCACACACGATGCCGTTCTGTCGGGCCCTCTTGGGAGCCGCGAATCCCGTCAGCCTCGAGACACCTGCAACAATCTCAGGTTATAAAGATGCCATTGCAGTTGGCCCATCTACCATGAAAACATCACCGATCATCATCGCGTTCTAATTCTAATACTTTAATCATTTACCCCTTGCACTCTCCGAAGAGAGCATCCTAAGACAATCCATTTCCAGCAGATTAGTCCCGACAATCATCAACCACCAATCAAAATGACTATCAACTCGTCGGCCAACGGAACTTTCGATTCCATCCCTGCTTCTGCTAGCCATGCTCCCAACGGAAGAGCTGCAGGTGCCCGCCCCTCCGAGCCCATTGCCATCGTCGGTGTCAGTGGCAAGTTCGCTGGGTCAGCCAGCACCCCGGAGAACCTGTGGAAGATGCTTGCCGCTGGTGAGGGTGCTTGGTCGCGCATCCCCGAGGACCGCTTCGACGTGAACTCTTTCTACCACCCGGACAAGGACAGGGCCGGACGCGTGAGTAACCCTTGAAACACAATCCCCATGAAGAGAAGCATTCGGCGCTAACCATCCGAGATAGAACCACGCCATTGGTGGACACTTCATGGACGAGGATGTCGCCCTTTTCGATGCCGGTTTCTTCAACCTGCCCGCTGATGTGGCTAGTGCCATGGACCCTCAGCTTCGTTTGTTGCTAGAGTCGGTCTACGAAGCCATGGAGGATGCTGGTATCCCCATGGAGAAGATTGCTGGTACCGACACATCCATGTACACGGGCTGCTACGGCAAAGATTACCACGACCTGCACAGCCGTGATCCCGAGGCCATGCCCGCGCCTTTCCTCACGGGCAATGGTACCGCCATGCTTTCCAACCGTGTCTCCCACTTCTACGATCTTCAGGGTCCCAGTATGTCCATTGACACTGGTTGCTCGGCTGGTCTTGTCGCTCTGCACCAGGGTTGCCGTAGCATCCAGTCTGGAGAGTCTGAGCTGTCTATCGTTGGAGCCAGTACCACCATCTTGAACCCCGACTTGTACATCGCTATGTCTATGTTGAGGTATGCCACCCTTCACTTCATGATACCGGGATAGAGTACTGACAGAATAATAGCATGGTCGGCGAAGAGGGCAAGTGTTATGCATGGGATGCTCGCGCCCAGGGCTACGGAAGAGGAGAGGGTGTTGCCACCCTTGTGCTGAAGTCTCTCGACGCCGCTATCCGGGATGGCGACCGCGTTCACGCTGTCATCAGAGAGACCGGATTGAACCAGGATGGAAAGACCCAGACCATCACATCTCCTTCTATCGACTCGCAGGTCAAGCTCATCCAACAGTGCTACCGCAAGGCTGGCCTTGACATTGCCGACACTGGTTACGTTGAGGCCCACATGACGGGTACTCCTACCGGTGATCTTGCTGAGGCCACTGCCTTGGCTCAGACCTTCGGAAAGAGCCGTCAACCTAACGACCCTGTCTATATCGGCTCTGTGAAGACGAACATTGGTCATACTGAGCCTGTCAGTGGTCTTGCAGCTGTGATCAAGACCATCTGGGCCATGAAGCACAAGCAGATCCCACGGAACATCAACTACGAGACACCCAACCCTAAGATTCGCCAGCAGGAGTGGAACCTCACGGTCCCCACCTCGCTTACCCCTTGGCCCCAGAACAAGGCTCTGCGTGCCTCGATCAACAACTTCGGATATGGTGGTACCAACGCCCACGTCATTCTCGACGGAGCCCCTGAGCAGTTCCTTGATGCCAGTGGCCGCCAGATCGAGGAGACCCCCAGAGCGCGCGTCCACATCGTCAGTGCAAAGGATAAGGTTGCCCTGAAGGCTATGCTCGCAAATCTCGCGGAGTGGGCTCCCGAGCATCTTGATGACAGTGCTCTCGGAGATTTGGCTTACACTCTGGCTGAGCGCCGGTCCAGACTCCCCTGGATGTCGGCTGTGAGCGCTAGCTCCGTCACTGAACTAGCTGAACGCTTGAAGGAACCTACCATCAAGATGTCTCATGCCACCAAGAAGCCTCGTCTCGGATTTGTTTTCAACGGTCAGGGTGCTCAGTGGCACGCTATGGGCCGCGAGCTGATTGGAGCTTACCCCATCTTTGCTGAAAGTGTTCACAAGGCTGACAAGATCCTCAAGGGTCATGGTGCGACCTGGTCTCTGTACGAGGAACTCTTGCGCGACGCAAAGACCACCCGCGTCTCTGAGGTCAATCTGAGCCAGCCTATCACGGTCGGTCTCCAGTTGTGTTTGATTGATCTGCTCAGATCTTGGGGGGTCGAGCCATCTGCCATCACCAGTCACTCCAGTGGTGAAATTGCGGGTGCTTATGCGGTCGGTGCCCTGACATTCTCGGAGGCTCTTGCTGCTGCTTTCTACCGTGGTGAGCTTGCTCTCCGCAACGAAGCCCTCAAGTCCCTTTCTGGTGGTATGATGGCCGCTGGTCTGGGTCAGGAAGAAGCCGCGAAGTACATCGCCGACACCGACAATGGCCGTGTCGTCGTGGCTTGTGTCAACTCTCCCGGCAGTGTTACCCTCTCCGGAGATCTTCCCGCCCTCGAACAGGTAGAAGCTCGTCTACAAGCCGATGGTATCTTCGCGAGAAGACTCAAGGTTCCGCTTGCTTACCACTCGCACCACATGCTTTGCTTCGCGCAGGACTACACTGACAGCCTTACCAAGCTGCTTGCCGCTCAGCCCAAGGACGGTGACTGGGTCAACAAGGTTCGCTTCGCATCCCCAGTCACTGGAAAGGTCGTCACCTCCGCCGAGACTCTGGGTCCCAAGCACTGGGCCGACAACCTGACCAACGCGGTCCTCTTCAGTCAGTCCTTCGACGCCATGTGCTTCAACGAGGATGGGAAGCGCGAGGTCGATATGATCGTCGAGCTTGGTGCCCACAGCACTCTTGCTGGTCCTATCCGCCAGATCCTCAAGCCCCGCGAGGAGATCCCCTACGTCTCATGTTTGCAGAGAGGCATCAATGCTGTTGAGACCATGCAGAACGTTGCCTGCGAGCTTCTGAGCAAGGGATACCCTGTGTCCATTGAGGCTGTTAACTCTCCTCTTGGTGAGAAGCACCACTTCGTCCACGACTTGCCCACTTACGCCTGGAACCACTCGACCCGCTACTGGACCGAGCCTCGCGTGAACAAGGAGATCCGCCACAAGAGATTCGCTCCCCACGAGCTGCTTGGCAGTCTGCTTCCTGGTGATAACGGCCTGACCCCGACCTGGCGGAACTTCCTGCGTCTCTCTGACGTCTCTTGGCTCATTGACCACCAGATTGACGGTTCTGTCGTTCTTCCTGGTGCAGGCTACATTGCAATGGCGATCGAGGCTACGCGTCTTCTCGATGGACCCGCAGACACCATCACTGCTTTCCAGCTGCGTGATATTGAGATCACCAACGCTCTCGCTATCTCGGACTCCTCTGCGGGTGTCGAAACTCAGCTTCAGCTTCGTCCCTCCGACAAGGAGGCTGGCTGGTACGAGTTCCTGCTCTCTTCTCTGACTGCTGCCGGCACCTGGATTGTGAACTGCAAGGGCTCCGTCAAGGCCGAGAAGGATGAAAGCGCGAAGGAGGCCTCGCAAGAAGCCGCTCTTCACTCCGAGTCTTTCTTCCACCCAGGTGTCAAGCCCACTCAGGTCAGCGAGGATGCTCTGTTCGCTAGCCTGCGCCAGTCTGGTATTTACCACGGCTCATCCTTCCGCAACCTTGGGGATATCCAGACCGTTAGAAAGAAGGCCATCACTGACCTCACCATCCCCACTGTTGTCTCCGAGGCACATGACTATGTCATCCACCCCACCACTCTCGACGCCATTGTGGTAGCTGCCTACACCAACCTGCCCAAGAAGCTCCTGCAGTCCTCCATGGTCGTTCCTCGGTCCATGCGCAAGTTGACTATCCGCAGCGGTCTCAACCGCCACAGCGGCGAGAAGCTCCAGGCATTCACTGAGAACCTGAGCGCGGACAGCCGAGGATTCAGCTCCAACATTGCCGTCATCAACCAGGATGATGAGCGCTCGCTGCCAGTCTTCGAGCTGGACGAATTCTTCGCCCAGGCTGTTCCTCGTGGCGCTGAGAACCCCGATGCCAACCTTCCAATGACTTCCAAGCTGCAGTGGGAGCTCGACATCTTCACTTCCAAGCCGGCTGCTGCTTTCGCGGACTCTCTCCGCATCACGCCCACTGACCAGCAGGCGGAGTTCGAGAACAAGCTGCTACGTGCTACCTACCTCCACATTGCTGATGCTGTTCGCGAGATCGAGAAGACCGGCTACAACAAGACTTCGGAGAAGTGGGAGGCCCACATCCAACGCCTCTACGAATGGCTGAAGGAGGTTGTCAAGCTCGGAGAGACTGGAAAGCTCGCCCCTCGCAGCAAGACCTGGCCACGCACCAGCAAGGGTATGAAGCAGATGCTTGTGGATGAGCTGATCGCCAGCAAGAACGCTTCCGCTTCTCTCACCGTCCGTATCGGACAGCAGCTTGCAAGCATCATCCGTGGCGAGGTTGCACCTCAAAGCCTGGCCAAGGATGGTGACCTGGCGCAGGAATACCTGGCTGACTACCCCAAGCTAAAGGAGAGAACTGGCGCACAACTCGCTCAGATCATTGAGCTGTTCGCTGTGAAGCGTCCTGGTGCCAAGGTCTTGGGTCTCGGCGCTGGTCTGGGAGCTGCTGCTACTGAGACTGTTCTGCAGGCCTTTGCTGCCCGCGCCTCTGACGGTACCCGGTCCCTCCTGGGTCACTACACCTTCACTGCTGCCTCATCCGACTCGCTCCAGGCTGCTAGCCAGAAGCTTGCTTCTTGGTCTGACCTGATCGAGTTCAAGGCTCTCGACATCGAGAAGAACCCCCTCGAGCAGTCCTTCGAGCGTGGATATGACCTCATCATTGCCTCACAGGCATTCCAGGGCACCGAGTCCGTGCAGACCGCCCTCTCCAACGTTCAGAAGCTCCTGGCTCCTGGGGGCAAGCTGATCCTCATCGAAACCACCAAGGACCGTGCCGACTCGCAGCTCGTCTTTGCTACCTTGCCAAGCTTCAAGGAGTCCAAATCGGTCGAATCCTGGGATGCTACTTTACGCGATGCAGGCTTCTCGGGAGTTGATCTCGAGGTTGCCGATTCCGAAGAGCCCAGCCTCCAGACTCTCAGCCTGATCTTGACTACCGCCAAGTCCACCAAGTCCTCATACCCTTCCACCATCTCCATTGTCCACCCTGCCACTGTCACCCCCCCCGCTGAGTGGGTTGAGGAGCTCAGCACTGCTATCCAGGCTCGCACTGGTGTTGCTCCTATTACCGAGAACTTGGATGAGCTCGAGGCATTTGAGGACAAGGCTATCATCTTCACTGCTGAATTGGAGAAGCCCTTCGTCCACCACATTGGAGAGGCCGACTTTGGCAAGCTGCAGAAGCTTCTGGTCAACAGCCAGAACCTCCTTTGGCTGAGCGCGGGTGGTGCGATCGACTCGGAAATTCCCGTCTACGGCCAGACCCAGGGTCTCCTCCGTACTGTGCGCCAGGAAGATGCTGGCAAGCGTTTGATCCAGCTTGACTTCACTGCCGCCACCGACCTGATCCCCTGGACCAACGACAAGATTGGCCACATTGTGGATGTGTTTGAGCAGAGCTTCGATTCCAGCCTCACTGCTGCCGACCGTGAGTGCGAATACTCGGTCAAGAACTCGACCCTCCACATCTCCAGAGCCTACCCTGATCTGGATGTTCAAGAACTCTCTGATATTACCCCCGTCTCCCTCAACAAGTCTGACTCGACCTACTTGATTGTTGGTGGTATGGGTGGTATTGGTCGGTCCATTGTGTCCTGGCTCATGGAGAACGGAGCTAAGAACTTGCTCGTTGTTTCCCGCAAGGCAGAGGCCAGCTCTGAGGTGCCCGACATGCAGGCCGCGGCCAAGGCTGACGGTTGCAACCTTCAAATCCGCTCCTGCGACGTCTCTGATGAGCAGGCCTTGGTGAAGCTGCTGAAGGACACTGCTGATGTTCTCCCCCCTGTTCGTGGTGTGATCAACGCGGCCATGGCCCTCGAGGTAAGCATAACTCCTCCTCATGCTTCGATTCATAACATGCTAACACTATCTAGGATACGGTGCTCGAGCGTATGACCTACGACCAATGGCAGAAGGGTATCCGGGCCAAGGTCGACAGCAGCATCAACCTTAACACCCACTTGCCCAACCTTGACTTCTTCATCTTCCTCTCTTCGGTCACTGGTGTGGCTGGCCACACTTCCCAGTCCAACTACACTGCGGGTAACACCTTCCAAGATGCCCTGGCACGTCACCGTACCCTTCAGGGCGAACCCGCTATTGCCCTTAACCTGAGTGCCATCAAGGGTGCTGGTTGGGTTGCCTCGCAAGGAGCTGAGGGTGAGCAGGAGGTGCTCAAGCGTGTGGAGCACCTGGGTGCAGTCTCCGCCGATGTTGACTTTGTCCTTGAGTTGCTCGAGAAGTCCATTCGGGAGCCCCGCCCCACCAGCCCCGCCGACAGCCAGGTCGTCGTGGGTCTCGCCCGGGATGATGCTATTCCCGAAGACTCTGTCACTCGTCTCGACCGCCGCTTTGGCACCCTTCGTCTGTCTACCCCGCGCGGAGCATCCTCCGACGCTGCCGAGGCCTCCGGCAATGCCGACAGCCTCGCCGTCCTCAACCGCGCCCTAGCTGCTGGCCCTGTGTCCAAGGCCGACGCTGTCAAGCTGATTGTGGATGTGGTTGCCGGCAAGACGGCCTCCATCTTCAACATCGAGCAGGAAGTCATCGACCCGAGTTTGTCGCTGTCCAAGTACGGTGTCGACTCCCTGGTCGCAGTCGACCTGCGCAACTACCTGGCTACGAGCCTCAGGGCCAGGGTGTCCATCTTCGACATCCTCCAAACCCCGTCTTTGGCGGAGTTCGGCGCCCTGCTGGCGGAGAAGAGCGAATTGATTGCCAAATAGATACCCCCCACGACAGGAGGCGGCTACGGAGAATTACGACTTGCATGTACCTTGTGTTTCTAATTCCGGGCATAGATTGGGGGCTCAGTTTGTCGATTGTTTCCGAACTTGACTACATCGTTTGCTTTTAATTCGCTTGTACCTAGATTGAACTGCTTCTAATTTGGATAATTGAAACTCTATACCAGTCAACTCTTTCTCTTGTTTGTAATCGATAGACTCGGACTTGCAGCATCTCCGATCCGACCTCGCTGTTTGGCACTTGGATTCGGCTAGGTCGGGTAGCGGTGTAGGTAACTAGACGCTAAAGTCTTGGAAAGGTGTTCTCCATGAGTCTAAGGAGTCTAAGGATCATAAAGCAGCTTATGTTTCTGGTTGAGAAGTTATGCTGAAGTATACCTAGTACTAACTTGAAAACTAGACCCGATGCAGACGAGGAGCCTCATTGCTTGGGGAGGGCACGTGCCTTTCTCGGCTCGGTGTTTTTCTCTTAGCCTCGTCTCGCCTCGCCTCGGAGTTTCTCCCCTTCGCTTCTTCTTAAAGTTTCGCTGCTGCATAAAACGTGTCTTCCATGCATGTCATCTGCAAGTCACACTACAGCAATGCTTCACTGCAGATTTCTGGTCTAGGCTTCATGACCATCTCTCATAAGCCCATGGACCGCCCGAATCGGCAAATCCGAGGATCATCATCCCGGAACTTGACTCCACCGCAGCGACTATTCGACCATGCCGGAAGCGCGCGGCTTACGTACTTCCAAGCAGGGCTGATACACTCGTCGCTGAAGGATCCATCTTCAGCGGTTCAGTCTGTTCATGAAGGACACATCATATGGCATCTGCTGTCAGCACTCACCTCGCGAAGGAGCTTGCCTACAGCACTTGGCTCATGCAGCCGTTGGGGCCATGGCTTGGAATCAGAAAATCTTGGAATGTCGTGGTTAGAAGGAGTTGATACCATGTTTTATCGCATGGTATCGGGTGGTTTAGGATGGCACGGCAAGTGCAGTGGTCTTTGAATATGAGAGAGAGGCTTCTACCGGCAAGCAATATATAAGGTGCGAAACCTTGCACCAATCTTGAACCTGGAGTCATAGACCGTCTCATAACAACTTGCTTGCACAATAGGGCGGCATAAGTTCCTTTTTTGAATCATTATACACTTTCACAGCCCGTGTTTGCGCAATAGACTAGACGCGCTTTTTCTTTTATCTTGCTAGACCACGCGTGCCTCATTTGCCCTTCAAGCCTGCCATATACCCTTTGTTCGAACTATCCATCTCAAGCTCTAGACGACTCTTCTACCCCTTACGACCCTTTTAAACCGGAGACGCGTTGAAACTGAGAGAGCAACCATGGCGTCTTCAACCTCCATTTTGAACAATGATATTGCCGTCGTCGGCTACTCTCTGAAGGTGGCAGGAGCAGACGACCCAGAGGAATTCTGGAACCTGCTCTGTACCGCTGAATCCCAACACCGAGAGGTGCCCCTCGACAAGATCCCCTTCGAATCCCACTGGCGCAAGATTGACCCTAATCGTCGGTGGTACGGCAACTTCCTCAACGACTCCAGCGCCTTTGACCACAAATTCTTCAAAAAGAGCCCCAGGGAGGTGGCATCACAAGACCCGCAGCAACGCCTGATGATGGAGGTTGCTTACCAGGCAGTGCAGCAATCAGGGTATTTTAGCTCACAGGATACTGATCAGCACGTGGGATGCTATTTGGGGGTCTGCAACTCCGACTACGAGACGAATGTCGCCTGCCATGAGCCGAACGCCTTTACGACCACGGGAAATCTTCGGAGCTTTATCGCTGGTAAGATCAGTCATTATTTCGGCTGGACTGGTCCGTCGATGACGCTTGACTCTGGGTGTTCCACTGCGGCAGTTTCGGTGCATATGGCATGTCAGGCCATCTTGGCAGGTGAATGTACGGCTGCCCTCGCTGGCGGCGTGAACGTTATGACCAACGGACTATGGTTTCAGAATTTAGCTGGCGCCTCTTTCCTCAGTCCGACAGGCGCATGTAAGCCCTTTGACGCGAGCGCCGACGGCTACTGTCGCGGTGAGGCTGCAGCTGTGGTGTTTCTGAAGAAAATGTCGCAAGCGGTCAACGATGGGGACGTGATTCTGGGATGTATCTCTGGAACGGCGGTGTATCAGAACCTGAACTGCACCCCTATTTTTGTGCCCAACTCCCCATCTCTTTCGAGCTTGTTCGCACACGTCACGCAGAAAGCCGGGCTGAACCCGCAGCAGATCTCCTTGGTCGAGGCACATGGCACCGGTACCGCTGTGGGGGATCCTGCGGAGTATAGCAGTATCCTGGAGGTGTTTGGTGGATTGAAAAATCGACAAATTCCCATGACTATTGGTTCCGTCAAGGGATTGATTGGACACACAGAGAGTGCTTCCGGAGCGGTCGCATTGATCAAGGTCCTCTTAATGATTCAGGAGCAGAAGATCCCGCCCCAGGCTAGCTTTCAATCTCTTAGTCCTCATCTCAAGGCGTCGAGTTCTGATATGCTTGAGATAGCAACTTCCATGAAAGACTGGAATATTGAGCACCGTGCTGCCTTGATTAACAATTACGGCGCTTCGGGCTCGAACGCCTCCCTGGTCATCACTCAGCCTCGGCAGCATGACGGGGCTGGATTGACAGCAATTCATGAGGAGGGACTGAAACATCCTTTCTGGCTAAGTGCCCTCGATGAGCGGAGCCTGCTTGAGTATGTCACCAAGCTGAGATGTCTGATTCGGTCCAAAGCAGTTTCAGCAAGAAACATTACCCTGGCAAATCTGTCTTTCAATGCCTACCGCCAATCCAACCACAATCTATCCACCCATGCTATATTCAGCGCAAATTCAATCTCCGATTTGGAAGGTAGCCTGACGGCTTACATAGAAGGAACCAACAGGGACTTTTCAAATACCGCTAAAGCGAACCCAACAAGACCAGTGATTCTCTGTTTTGGTGGTCAGATCTCAAGGTTCATTGGATTAGACCGAAATGTCTTTGATGGTGTCCGTGTTCTGCGAGACCACCTCAACCATTGCGACTCCACTCTACAAGGATTGGGCTATGGCGGTTTGTATCCTGAGATCTTCCAGACCTCACCGGTGGAGGATCCGGCAAAACTTCAAACAATGCTGTTTGCCCTGCAATATTCTGTGGCCCGAACATGGATAGATAGTGGTGTGAAAGTTGCGGCCGTCGTGGGTCACAGCTTTGGTGAACTGGTAGCGTTGTGTATTTCCGGCGTCTTGAACTTCGAGGATGCTCTTCGTGCCATTGCGACGCGAGCTGAACTTTTGCAAAAGCTATGGGGCCAGGAGCGCGGGGCGATGATGGCTATTGAAGGCGATCTGAATTTGGTTGAAAAGTTGCTGGCTGCTGCGCATCAGCTCACCCCAGCCGAGAATGCTGCCACAATTGCTTGCTATAATGGGCCTCAGAGCTTCACTTTGGCAGGATCAAGCAAGGCCATTGATGCCGTCTCGGAAACCGTCTCCAGACACCCGGACTTTGCCTCAATACGCACACGGAGACTGAATGTCACTCACGCTTTCCATTCTACGCTTGTTGAGGAGCCTCTTTTGCAGGAACTGAGAAAGCTCGGGCAAAGCATCACCTTCTCGCAAGCCACGATTCCAATGGAAAGGGCAACTGAGACGGCTAATGAGCCTCTAGCATCCAGCTTCTTCGCACATCACATGCGCAGTCCGGTCTATTTCGACCATGCAATTCAGCGACTGGCGAAGAAATACCCCTCTGCCATATTCTTGGAGGCAGGCTCCAACTCGACCATCACAGGTATGGCGCGTCGGGCCCTTGGGGTGCCGCCCGAGTCTCACTTTCAAGCCGTGAATATTACCAATGGGGCTCAAGGCCTGAACAACCTCACTGACATGACCACCTGCCTTTGGAAAGAGGGCGTGAGTGTTACCTACTGGCCGCATCACAGATCACAGACCTATGAGTATGGTCCTATACTAATGCCAGTCTATCAATTTGAACGAAGCAAACACTGGCTCGACGTGAAGATACCGCAAGAGAAGGTGTCCAACATAACTGAGAAAATTCCAGACGAGCCTGCTCCCGAGTGTCTTTACACATTTGTTGGATACCAGGACCCCAAGCAGCGTGTGGCTCGGTTTCGGATCAACTCAGCAACTCAAATGTTCCGAGACCATCTCAAGGGTCACACAATCGCACAAACTGCCCCCATTTGTCCTATGACGCTGGAAGTCGATATGGCTATTGAGGCCCTGGGGAGCTTGCAGCCGGCTCTCCGAGACCCGAAGCATATTCCTCGAGTCCACAATATTCAGAGCAAATCCCCGTTATGCGACGACCCTTCTAGAGCAGTGTGGCTTGACTTGAAAGAAGGCGAGGGAAGTGCCCGTGGTACCGCTTGGGAATTTTGCCTGGCAAGCTCGGGCGGGTCCGGCTCCGCAAATACTGTGCACGTCTCAGGAGAGATCACATTTGGCTTAACTGAAAGCCCCGAGGCCCTTGCCGAGTTCTCTCGATATGGGCGCCTCATTGGTAACCATCAGCGCTGTCTAAAAATTCTCAATTCATCCGATGCAGACGACATTATCCAAGGACGGAATATCTACCGGGCGTTCTCTGAAGTTGTGGATTATGGTGTTGAGTATCAAGGCCTCCAGAAGCTGGTCGGCAAGGGCAACGAATCGGCTGGCCGTGTGCTCAGGAAGCATGCCGGAGAGAGCTGGCTCGATATGCATCTTTCGGATTGCTTCGCCCAGGTGGGTGGAATCTGGGTAAATTGCATGACAGACTTGCATCCTAGCGAGATGTATATCGCAAATGGACTAGAACGCTGGCTTAGATCTCCCAAGATGGGATCCAGGTATAGCCAGATCGAAGCATGGGATGTCATCGCCCGCCATCATCACCTTGAGGACGAGAAGGCGTATATGACTGATGTCTTCGTCTTCGACTCCGCCACGGGTGAGCTGGCAGAGATCATGCTGGGCATCAAGTATACCAGGGTCTCGAAACAAGCAATGAGTCGGATGTTGACTAGACTGACTCCTCGTTTGGCGAACAAAGCCTCGACGCCGTTAGATATGGCTCCCCCGGTTACTTCCGACATCCACACCGTCAGTGCAGCAAACCCGGCGAAGATCAGTCCGGCACCTAAGCCCCAAATGCTGGTCGATCTCCCTTCCTCAGATATAGATATATCAAGAGGAGTCAAGGCGGTACTGGCAGAACTGTCTGGCCTTGACACTGTTGACATTAAAGACAGCACCCAGCTCTGCGACATCGGCATCGACTCACTCATGAGCATGGAGATGGGTCAGGACTTGGAGCAAAGGTTTCACTGTTCGATTCCAATGTATGACCTGGCGGATCTCACAACTGTGCGTAGCCTGGTTGACTACATCCGTGGCACTGTTACAGTCATTTCTTCTGAGGATGATCACTCATCGTCGGCGGAGTCGGTCAGCGACGTGTTTTCCGACTCTGCAACTACTGTATCCAGCGACCTGGATGTCTCAATAGCCGGTGGACTTGGCGCTTTTCTTGCCGAGTTTCTGGGTGTAGCTGAGCACGAAATCAGGAATGATGTTCCACTCGGAGAACTTGGAGTCGATTCGCTTCTCTCCATGGAGCTGTCCGCTGACCTGGAGTCCAAATTCGGCCTACACTTTCCCCATGGACAGATTCTACAGGAGCTTACGGTCACAGACATTGAGCGTAGGATGAACAAGTCACTACCCACAACTCCGGGGTTTTCTACCCCTAGCGAGCTCGCAAGCCCCACTCCAGCCCCAGAGACCGCAAAGTCCTATTTTCCGGATCGAGACCTCCAGTTGCCGTCCGAAGCTGTCATGGACGCCTTCACTGAAGTCAAAGATCTTACGGACGAATACATTGCTGAATTCAATGGCTTAAATTACATGCAAACTATCAATCCTGCCTTGGTGCAGATGTGTGTCGCCTTGATAGTTGAGGCTTTCGAGCAGCTTGGGTGCTCTTTACGCGCTGCCGTTCATGGTCAGGCCTTGCCACGAATTGAATACCTACCCAAGCATGAACGTCTGGTTGAGTATATCTACCAGGTTCTGCAGAACGAGGGTAAATTGGTCAGAGTGGAAGGCAATACGATCATTCGAACACACGCACCCGCCCCTGTCGAGTCCAGTGAGATTATTTTAAAAAGACTAATTCAGGATTATCCTGATCATACCAAGGCCCACCAGCTAGCCTATTTCACAGGCAGGAGACTGGCCGATGTGCTCAGCGGAAAGGCGGATGGTCTTCGGCTGATCTTTGGCAACGAAGAAGGTCGCCAATTAGTGTCTAGTCTCTACGGGGACTTTTTGTTTAACAAATTGCACTACAAAATGATGGATTCTTTTCTTCAGCGGCTGATCGAAAGACTTCCTTCCAGTGAAGGACCCCTGAAAATCATGGAGATGGGTGCTGGAACGGGAGGCACCACCAAGCAGCTTGTGCCGGCTTTGGCCCGTCTGAATATTCCGGTTGAATATACCTTTACCGACATCTCGCCATTGTTTCTTGCCAGCGCCCGCAAGGAATTCAAGCAGTATTCGTTCATGAAGTTTCGGGTTCATGATATTGAGAAAGCTCCCGCCGATGATCTGCTAAGCAGTCAACATATCATCATCGCGAGCAACGCTGTGCATGCTACTCGCAGCTTGACGGAGTCGACCAAGAACATTCGGAAGGCCCTGCGGCCCGATGGCTTTCTTATGATGCTGGAGATGACGCAGCCTCTTATTTGGATCGATATGATCTTTGGTCTATTGGAAGGATGGTGGCTGTTTGATGACGGTCGGCGCCACGCGGTAGCCGATCCTGTCCGATGGGAGACTGCCCTCCACGCTGCGGGGTATGGCCAGGTAAACTGGACGGACGGAAAATGCCCTGAGGTCGGAATCGAGCGCATCGTGGTCGCGATGGCTTCCCAAGGGCCAAGGTATGAACACCGCCACTGTTCCTTGCCTCAACCTCGAAGCCCACCTGCTGACGCCGACTCGGTGACCCGACAGGCAGTAGTGGATAATTACATTCAGCAATATACTCAGGGCTTCAGCGCTAAAGTTCCCGAAGCATCAACGAAGAAGCCTTCATCTGGGGCCGTGATGCTTGTGACTGGGGCCACCGGGGGTCTAGGCTGTCAGCTGGTTAGCCATCTCGCACATCATTCCGACGTCGCTACTGTGATTTGCCTTAATCGCCCCGCCCGCAACAGCAAGACACCATCAGAGCGCCAGCACGAAGCCCTATCCATGCGGGGGATCACAATGGGCGCCCAGGCGCTTTCAAAACTTCGGATCCTCGAGACTGATACATCCAAGCCCTTCCTCGGTCTATCCCCAGCGGAGTATGCTCAGCTCGCTTCGAAAACCACACACATCATCCACAATGCCTGGCCCATGAGCGGCAAACGGCCTGTTGAGGGCTTTGAGCCGCAGTTCCAGGTCATGCGCAACCTTCTTGACTTGGCTAGTTATGCCTACAGTGGCTCCAAGATCCACTTTCAGTTGATCTCCTCAATCGCCACGGTCGGCCATTATCCTATCCACACCGGCAATCCTAACGTACCTGAATCGCGACTACCTCTACAATCCGTTTTGACCAATGGGTACGGTCTCGCCAAGTTCATCTGCGAGCGCATGCTGGATGAAACCCTTCACCGCTACCCGGACATGTTCCAGCCCATGGCCGTCCGTTTAGGGCAAGTAGCAGGGTCACGAGTCAGTGGATACTGGAATCCGCAGGAGTATCTGCCTTTTCTTCTTAAATCCTCACAGACGCTCGGGTGTCTCCCGGACTTGAAGGGAACTGTTTCGTGGACGCCTGTTGAGGACGTGGCGGCCACGTTGGGGGATCTGCTCCTTTCGGGCGAAGGAGTGGAGATGGCAAACAGATATCCGATCTACCACATCGAGAATCCCATCGGACAACCATGGGAAGATATGATCCCCTTGCTGGTTGAAGGTCTACGGTTCAACGCGGCAACAGCCCGCCTGAAGGAGGGGCAAGATTCGAGGGCCAAGAATGGAGTCGTCACTACCGTGCCCTTCGAAGAATGGATCCATCGAGTCCGTACATTCGCTGGACCAAGTGACGAGAACCCTGCCTCTTTGATGGTCGACTTTCTGGAGGAGCACTTTCGTCGCATGTCGTGCGGGGGTTTAAGGCTAGAAACAGTGCGGTGCCGTGAGCATTCAGCCACGCTAGCAGGGGTGGGGCCTGTGGATGTTGAGGTGGTGAGACGGTATCTTCAAAGTTGGAAGAAGATGGGATTCTTGAGATGATTTCTTGACTCTATATTCAAGAGGGTGGAATCTGTCAAATTGTGTTTACTTTGCCTGTCTGCCTTGTTAGCGCTTATGAGCGAGTACTGTCTTATCTCAAAGTAAGTTTTTTTTTTTTTCCTAAAAAAGATCAATAATCATTTGTTCAATAATTCTACCAAGCGAAAATGGAACTCACGAAACCATTTCCCCTACGTTCAACCCACCATTAATGCTACGATAATCTACGATTCTGGCTCGCTGGGGTCATAAACTTCGATTGCATAATCATAGCCCCCCTCGTTGGGGTCCTGGAATTCCTCGGAGCCCGAATCGGTCTCCTCATCATCCTCGGCATACAGGCCCTCAATTCTGTTACCGTCTTCATCGAGACGAAACAGGCCTCGTCGCCGATCCACCCACGGCAGATCGGGATCATACAGCTCCTTCCCACTCATGAGGGCCGTGTACGTTCCGTGCAGCGACTCCGGCAAGCCGCTGGGCAGGACCGGGAACGGCGACTGGGGCATCATGGGGGTGCCCTTCATCTGCTGGTACATCAGCTGGGCGCGCTTGATGCGGCGCCGCATGAACAGCCAGTCGTACTCGCGGTCCGTCCTGCCGTCGGGCGCCTGGATCTCATCCTGCAGCAGCTTGCGCATCTCCGGCCGGAACGCGCGGGTCCGCAGGCAGGCGGGCTTGGTGCGTCGGGCCAGATCGCAGAGCATGTCGAAGGTCAGCTCCCAGGAGGTGCCCTTGGTGTCGTTCTCCAGGCTCCGATCGCGCCAGTGCAGCAGCAGCATCCCCTCCAGGTACTGCGCCGGCTTCATCACGCGCACCATCCGCGGCAATTCCCGCTCCCCTCGTGCTTCTCCTCCTCCATCCTTTGAATCTGGTTCCACACTCACCATGGTATAACACTCCCAATCCCCATCCTCGCTCGGATTATGCCGGAAGGTCGGACACGGCATGTGCCAGAAATACGGCTCGTGCGCGAACAGCCGCACCATGACCACGTGGCGCGGGTGCTCGACGCTATCGGGGGAGTCCGGTTCCGGGCCCTGACTCCAGAGCCGATGGTGGATGGCGGGGATGTACGGGCCCCGCTGCACGAAGAAGACGTGCGCGGGCGCCCACCATGCGTCTTCGAGGCGAAAGTCCCGGTCCGCGGGCCAGTGGCGGCTCGGCCCCGAGGGCCAGTGGTGCATGCACGCCAGCGTGTCGGTCACGGTGCGCGGCGTGTCGTCTAGTCCGGCGGCTTGCAGGACGGCGATCGCCCCGCTCATTTGGTGGCCCGGGATGTCGAGGTCAATGCATGGGTCCATGAAGAGGCTGTCCCGCCAGTTGAGCGTGCGGAAGAGGGCCCGGTTGAGGAGCGCCACGGGGATGTCGTTGTGCTCGAGGTGGGTGGTTAGGCGTTGCACCCAGGGGAGGGTGATGGGGTCTCCTGGGGTGTAGGTGAAGGGTTTTTGGGGGAAGATCTTGCGGTGGGGGCGGCGGCCGGGGTGGGCGAGGAGGGTTAAGGGGGGCATGGTTGCGGTGCCACGGGATGCGGTGGCCTGGGTTTGGGGTTGGGGTGGGTTGGTCTGGGCTTGGGGTTGGGTCATTGGTTTCCAGGTGGTAATTGGTGGACTTTCGTGGTGGAGAGGTGGTTTTATAGGATGAGGGTGAGGGTTGGTTAGGGCTGGAGGTTTCCGGGTAGGGGATTGGGGTCCTTTGTATGGGGTTGTCTTTGTGGGAGCGGGTTGATTGTGGTGAGCTGGGGGTTACCGGTTGGATTTGAAGATGAATGAGACTGCGGAATTGAGTGTCTTTGTTGCGTTCGGGGGAATTCGGCTGAGATGTGGTATATAAATCAGTTGCAATTGAGGGCGAGTGTCAACATCACTGTTTGATACGTGCAGTACATTTTCAGCTGGAGATCGGACTTGTACATCGCAGCCCGACTTAGCCAACAGTTCCCCGATCAAACAGCTGAAACCCCAGGAATCTCCAATGGAGCACCACGGTTCAACTTTCCAAGGCCTCCCCCGCCCCGCCCCCGGCGACACCGACCTCGGCGAGGTCGACATCCACGACATCAACAAGGTCCTGCTCCTGCGCGTGCTCTACAACAACGCCCGCCTGGTCACCCCAATCTCCCGGCCCTTCGACTTCGACCTCGCCCGCCAGGTCATGGCCACCCCTATCCTCACCACCGACCTGCCCGACGTCCGATCCTGGCTCTCCATCTCCACCTTCTGCGGCCGCGTCATCGGCGTCGCCTTCACCAGGACCACCGCCCAGGGCTGGATCTACGATCAGCTGAATGGGGCGGGTGCGTTCGAGCACGCGGTGCACCGCGCGAGGCAGTTGACCGGTGAGTCGGCTAGGTGGCTCGGGGGTGCGGTGCCAGATCGGGAGAGGGAGTTGGAGGGGACGCCGCCGCCGCCGTATCGTGAGAGGGAGAACTGACATTGTTGGGTTTTGGTGGGGTAGTGAAGATGATTTCAATGAAAGAAAGAATTGCTCCTGATGGAGATTTATATCTATGATAGGTGTGCTTTGTTTGGTTTGAAGGGTTTGTTTCTGCTCGTATGTTCTTTGGTTGATCGGTGTTATTTGTTTTCTTGCTTTGCTTGCTTAGGGTTCTCGTAAGAGATGGAGTCCAGTTGGTCTGTTGTGCGAGGGGGATGCGGGGATCAGCTTGACTCAATTGAATAGTGTCCAGACCGCCACTCGGTCCTAAGTCGATGCTGTATTCCTTGACGTTTACCGCTCGAGATAGTGTACATGGTCTTCCTCTACCTTGATATGATTACTCTAGGTAACCTACGGTTAGTCAACAACCTGATCCACCGGAGGTCGACTTTCTCTACGAATACCGTATGCTCCGAACCCATGCAGCCGAGACTCTCATGAGCCTTGATATTGCCCGATGCACCCACTGTTTCCCTCTTCACCAACTGTATCGCGAATCCTGCCACCCGCGGTGCCGAACCTGCCCCGGCTTTGGCCCCTATCTCTATATCCCCACTCTCTCGCGGGTGTGTTTGCAGTGCGTTCTGAGACATAGGCGATACCGCGTCGCCACCCTCCATGATGTGTCTGCCTGTTACGGTTCGCTGGAGGACCGGCGGGATCTCCCGGTCGTCTCCTGCATTGATTTTCTCGAAGGTCGATACAGCTCCGACCGGCTGATTGACGTGGCGGAAGCTAAACTCATGTATCGACAGCAGTGACGGCAGCGGTTCGGCAGTAGTAGTCGCGAGATCGAATCCGCACCCCAGAAATGGACTTATCGGCTGCAACCCGACACGGTACCATGCGCGGCTGCGGTTGACCCTGTGGCGTTTCCGTACTGGGACCCGCACACCCTCGTAGCCGAGCCGGGGGTGTACTGCTACGGGTGCACGAAGTACCGGGAGACATCCCGGGACAAGATCAAGCGCAACCCGAGAAAGCGGCGGAAGTACTACTATGCCTGGAACACGGCGTCCCCGGGGAGCAAGGGGGTGGATCGCGCGTTTTGTGTCCCGGATCTCCCACGGCACTTTTCGACGTGTCCGCACGTGGTGCGTAGGCTTAGGAGGGGGGAGGATCACACCGCGTTGAGGTTTGGTGAGTCGGTTGGGAGGATCATTCAGGTGGACGCCTGGTGGGGAGAGGGGTGCTGGACGGTCTGCGCGGGTGGATAAGAAGTAGGGTTGGTTGGGGCTGTGGATGTCTGGTGGTTTTTGCTGGGTTGGATTTGATGCTGATTGATGCTGTCTACCTTGCGACGGTATTAGATGCGGGCAGCTGCCTGTGGGAAGGATACTGCTCTGATGTTGAGGTGTTTGCGAGGGATTGCCTAACGTAGAAGTAGAAGAAGAGTAAGGTTGCAAGCGCCTGTTTGTCTTTCCATTCTATCAATCCAGAATTGACTATACTTGCCCGAAATCCATAAATCGATACAAACGACTGTGCCCCATCACGAACACCAACTCCATCCACACCCTCAAGTCTCGTACAGTACAGTCAAATCACTGCGGCTGCAAACCCGCACAACCCGCCAACCAGCGGCAACAGACTCCGCACCGCATTCAGCACCGCCCACCGCTTCAACAGCCCGCTGGTCCTCTCCGCCTCCTCCTCCGCCTTCTCCTCCGCCGCCGCCGTCCCCTCCCCCTCCCCCACCAATCGCATAAGCTCACAATCCGTCCCCCGCATCACCACCCCCGTAAACGGGACAACCCCCACCGTCAACACCGCTGCAGCCGCATACCACCGCCCGGGACTGGCATAGCTACTACTGCTGCTGCTACTGAGGAACTGCAGCAGCTGCGGCGGCTCGACAGCCCGCGCCACCGTCCAAGCGAGGTAGACGAACGCGGCGGCCGTGCCCGCGGCGACCGGTGCGTTTTGGGTTGTGCTGGCGGTGGAGATTCTTTTCCAGATCTTCAGGGCTGTAGGTGAGGTCCGGGGGATCTGGTGGGTTGGGTCAGGGTCAGGGTCCGGAGACAGGAGGGCGGGGATGGTGATCAGGCTTTGGGAGGCGATGGTGCCTTTGTGTTGGATTAGTTCATCGGGTTCAGGGGGTATGAATGGAAGGGTGGGATTGGGATGAACGCACCGGATAGCCAGGCGGCGCCGGTGAAGCCGATGGCTTGGGCGGTGCGGTAGGCGAGGGGGTTTGTGGTCATTATGTCTGTGCTTGGCTAGAGGTGAGAGGAGCTGGGCTGTGATCGCTGTAGATTGGAGTTGGGAAATTTGGTGTGGGATGTTTGGGGGACTGGGTTCTGTGTAGGAGGCATAAGTTGGGGGTTGGCGTGCCTACGTCAGAAGCTGTTTTATACGAGTACGGAGAGGTCGGTATATTCGTAGGGCTGATGTAAAGTCGTAGGGCTGAAGTGGGGGTGGGGAGGCCCGCTTTCCCGAGACGATGACGGCATGACTTGACTTGTTCCGGGGGTTGGGGTGTCTTTCTTATCGGAGACCGGAGTATAAGGAAAGAAGGGCCTTGCGAGATTGAGGCTGTGTTTCAAACGTAAGGAGGCTGTGAGTTAGTGATTCAGCAAAGTCTCCCATGTGTAGTTGTTATTGGTCTTTTCGCCCTGGTGTACAACTCTACACATACACTTGAAGCGAATATAACTCAGCTACCTTGAGTCCTTCAATGGAATCGATGAAAGGACTATCCGGGCCGGCGCATAGGCACAAGGCTCTCAGAGGCTAGCATTGTCTGTACACGATGGGTGCAAAAAACACTTCCACTCCCGAGATACTGTACGTATGCAGCATTTATCACGCGCTCAATATGCCCAACTCATCCTTGTTTCTGTGACTCACCCAAAACACCTTTCCCAAGAGAAAGACAGCACGCATCCCCAGAGATCAAGCCACTGCTCCCTCCCAAACCCAAGCTTCTGCAATACTACCCCCAACCAGCTCCTTCCCCATCCCCGGCAGCCCACATACAAACACCTTCACCTTACCCTAATCCCCGTCAAAACCTACAAGATTCACCCTCAACAACGCCTCATCAATCCGCCCCTCCCTAACTCTTACCCTCCGATTGCGCGAGGCCGTGGTCGCTCGCTGACTTATAAGTGAAATTACCACAGGATTAAGGAAAGGATGTCCAAGAACCGCAGAATCCGACGGGACATCTTCAACTAAGATGAAACGGTGCTGCCGCCACTATGTTGAGCCATATCATCCTGTCGCACCTCCTCAGGGGACTTGCAATGACCCTAGGCAATTGGAAATGTCGCAGAAACCCCCAACACATGAACTTTTCCCTTCTTATATACTATCCATGAAAGCGACTCATCAATACTATTCTACCCTGGACACACTGATCACCACCCTCCCATGCTCAAGCAACCGACACTCCCCCACGCTCAACACCGGCACCCGCGCAAACAGCGCCGTCCACTGCTCCATCGTCCGGAACGCCGTCCCCCGGCACGCGATCAGATGTAACGCCAGACGATTCCCCTGCGGCGAGCCGAACCGCCCATTCCCGGGATCGAAGAAGTCGTCCACCAGCAGGGTCGAGCGGGCGTCCATGGCCTCGGCCAGATGTGCCAGGATCTTCTGGCTCTCCCTGTATAACCCAGTACTTAAGCACAATCCCACACTCCAAAGTCACGATTACCAGGAAAACCCACCGATCAGGATGATCCATCAGGATATGGCTGAGCAGATACACCGCCGCCCCGCGGACGGGCTGCTCATCGAAGAAATCATGCTTGGTCCAGCTCACCCGCTCTCGGAGTTCGGGGTTAATGGTGGTGCTGGACGGGCTGCTCGGGGCTTCGTCCGCGTAATCCTGCACGATGAAGCGCATGCGCGGGTATCTCTGTGCCAGACGCAGGGAGTGATGGCCGCGGCCGCCGCCTACGTCGACCACTAGCGCATCTTCCGGGCAGAAGGTGGCGAGGTCGATGATGTCTTCGAGGGGAGTGGGCGCGTTCATGCGAAAGTAGCCCTCCATTGCGTTGTCGAAGCGCTGGCCGCGCGGCGGATCGGTTTGGTGGTAGTAGTCGTAGCAGGGGATGTTTGCTGATTTTGTGGCAGGGTTAGTCGTTGCTTAAACAGTCGCTTGAAAAATTATAAAACTTACTGTCAAAAGCCATTTCGAAGGCGCTTCGATGGCGCTCGTCCGGGATGTGGTAGTTGTTCTGCGCGGCATACCGCGATAACCACGATGCGCAGCGCAGACCATCGTCTACCCTGTTCCATTCTGGTGGATCAGTCGCGGGACTATCACGAAGATATATCGAGGGGGCTGACAGGTAATGAATCCAGTCCCGGATGTAGGGATCCTGCAGAAGCTCGGTGCGCGGGTTGCGCTGGAAATGGCCGGGAACAGGCTCGTCCAAGAGACGGCTGGCGGCGCATTGTCTCAGTGCACAGCCTGAAACTCCTGTTAGTGGGGGGGATGGTCGGGGACCGGCGTCAACCCACGAAACAGCGCAGGGGTGGCGTCGTCGCCAACGCCCCTGAGAAGGGTTGAAGCAGCCACCGGCTCGGTCGTCTCACACAGCCGCGTGATGATGTCCGTCTCCAGCAGAATCGCCAGCGCGGCGGCCGTATGCGACGACGCCGCGGTCTGCGACAGCCACACCTCCGGGGCCGTGGTGGACACGGCCAGTTCCTCGCACGCAGCGCTCAGGGCTGCCCGTGCAGTGGTGACATCCCCACCCTCCTTCGTGGTGGCGGCGTGTCGCTGCGCTTGCGCCATGACACGGTTTGCAATGCACACGATGTTATCGGCTTGGTGCTGCTGTGCTTGGTTGGCCATGGGGTCTTTTGTTGTCGGCTGTTACTGGAAGCTGCCTCCAGGAGCAGGTGCTGTGAGTTATTGTCGGAAGACTAAGATGCTGGGTCCTGGGGGTTTCTCCGGCTCTGATATCCTCTGCAGTCTGATCGTCAATTACACTGTGGCTGAATTAGCTTTCTTTATCCATGGTATATCGTCCATGATTCAGGTCTTTCCTCAACCTAGTCCGATCTCCTCAGATGCGGTGAGCTCAATCGCTCAGATGAAGGTCGGTGGCTCGATGAATCGACTGTAAACGAAGTGAAGCATTGCAGCGGCGGAGATATCAGACTCAATGAGAGTTATACAGAATTGTCGCAGCTGAGTACCTTGGACTAAGCTCCGCTCACATGACTATCAACTTAGTAACTCAGAACGACTGAAGAGATTAGGCTGTGAGATTGACCTTCCACTACGCAACTGAATCCATCGTAGAATCCGATAGTTGAATACTCCATAGCTAATCTTTGTCTATGCGTGGACCAACTCCTCTGCCATCACAAAAGGAGAAAAGTGCAACAAATAAATAAATAGCAATAGTATATACACCCCATCCACCGTTCTCTGTATCTCTCTTTGGCTAAAACCCAACCATTCTCCGACACTCCCAATATTAATTAAGTATCCCTCCCACATCGACCATACCATAGCCCCATCTAAAAAACCCCCTCTTTCTCTTATCATGATGAATACATGTCTATCGTGAATCATTAGTCATATACACACTTCGGCGGTGTAACGCTATGCCTTGTTACGGTGCTGCCTTGGGTCGCGGAGAGCAGGATCTGAAGTTAAACATCCCCGATAAACTCAGATAACATCCCAAGGAACCTAGGTTTAATTCCCGTTACCCATGATCAAAGACCGAGCTTGTTGTGGTTCGGTGCCCAGGACGGTGATGAGATATTCGATACTGTTGGGGCATGCGTTAGTCATAACACCACAAGATACGGGGTTGACAGATCCTACCTCGCCTCAGAGGCCAGTCGACGTTTCTCGCGGGAGAAGTCCTGCTGGCAGGCTTCCCAGACAGCCTCCCGCTCCGCCGGCAACACGGTCTTGATGCGGAATTTGAAAGCGGCGCTGACGGGTCGATGGTCGGACGCCCGCACCTCGTGGCGACGGTACTCGAGCTGTCGAACCCGGCCGAGGCCGCGGTACAGAACCCGATCGCACCAGGCTGGGGCACGCTTCTTGTCACTCGAGTCGTACTCGTCTGTGCCGACGTCGTACTTGTACGTCGGGGCGAAGGTAATGGGGGACTCGTTGAAGGACCGGAGGCGGAAGCCAGGGTTCTTGCGCCGCGAAGCCAGCAGCTGGTCGCGCTCGAGGAGCTTCGTGAGGTTGTTGCTGCGGACCGCGTCGATGATCACATTACGTGGAATAGCGTCAATGCGGTAGTTCAGATCACCATTAAGAATGCAGATCTCATGGTCCATGATCATCGATCCGTCACCACCACTCACGTAGCGGTTTGCGCGTGCAGCGAGGCTAGGCTCGGCGGGAAGCGACTCGGCCTCGAGGATCGCCGCGATGTCGTTGTTACGGTGGGCAGTCTGCGTCTGGCCGGCTGCCAAATGACAATTCACCAAGCATATGGAGCTGTCGTCCAGCGTAAAGCGGAAAAGAAGTGCACCCTAAATCGTCAGCCATACCCCTACATGCAGGTCCGGAAATGGTTTACCTTGTTGCCATGCAACCCTCCCATACCTCGCTTAATCTCAGACGCACTGATATCCGTGATTCTCTGCCGCTCCTTGTGTTTGACGAAGACACACGTGAAGAGTCCGATCATGTTCGCACTATGCAACAGCACATACGATTCCTCCAGTGGCATGCAATCGTTGATGCACCGTGTCAGATGTTCCATCCACACCCGATACTGGCGACTCATGTGTTCTTTGTCCCCGCTGTCTTTCTTCTTGCTGCCCAGGAGAAGGCTCTCTGGAATCGAATTAGTACTCGCAGGATAACATATAAAATTCTAACCGGGGATGAAATGCACATACTAGCTGTGATCTTCTTGTTCTCCAGGTCCACCAGCTCCTGGAACCCAAAGACTATAATCTCCGGGGGATTCTCGGGGTGAATGGCATCTTGGATGAACGATGACGTCCGCACACTGCCCGGTGTCGAAGCACCAGCATTCCAGGTGATAACTGCAGCATTGATCTCACGGAAGTTGCAAAACTCGACGTCTCTGGTTTGCATCCGGGTTTCTATACTCGGGTCAATGAAGCGTTGACAACCCCCTGAATGGCAACTCACCTAACCAATCATCCTCCAACATACCATCCCATAAACGAATGCAGTTATCGTCACCCAGTGAAGTCACCTGGAGGCGGTTCATCGTCCACACACTGCTCGAATCCAACAAGAACCCGCTCACGGGGCTGTCGTGGGCACGCCAGTCCTTCTTAACTGTCCAGGGGTTCGTGCTCGTATCGTAGACGTAGATCATGCCGGTTTTGTACGCTGCCCACAGGTAGTCCCCTACTATACCCAGGCAGTTGATCTTATAGACACTGACGTTCACGACGGCGAGACACGCGTAGTCTTTGGCAGAATAGACCGTCACCTTGCCATCCGAATGACCAAGATAGACAAGGCCGCCGTCTCGAGTAGTATATGCGCCGGACGTGACATCGCCAGTATGATGCGCGCCCAGCGGCCTGCTGAGTACTTTGAACGAAATATCATCCCGCGCATTGGGCCGGTACACATGTACCTCCTTACCCGCAGCCAGCCAGAGCTTATCGCCCACCACCATGGAGAAAGTATGTCCGCGGGCAACCCGATCATAAGGGTTGTGGTAGCTGTATTGAAGGTTGGGAGTGCCGTTCTCATCCGGTGGCCAAACCAATAGCCGGCCCTCATCATCAAGGGTCCACATCTCTTTCTTGTGACGAAGAATCTTGACGACTTCTTTCCTTGAAGGGTACGAGCGCGATGCTACGATAGACCCGGTTGCAATGTCCACCTCATGTAACTCACCGGAATTCGTGCCCAGCCATACGCGCTGGCCTTCATCTTCCAGTCCAACACCGGGCTTGAAGGCCAGCGACAAGCTTTTGACCGTTTCCCCATGACTGAGACTCATGAGTTGCTCGCCCGTTGTGAGATCCCACACTCGTGTGATATACCCGGTGGTGCACACGTGCTTTCCACACACATCCATCAGTCGTGTGTCATACCGTGTGTTGATTTCCATTGGGCCGGACTTGAGAAGTGGCGGGCGTCTGTTGGCAGTCGAAGCGTCCGGGTAGTCATTACGCGCAACGGGAACGCTGTCTAGGTTCTGTTCATCCTCACTATGGACACGCACTGACTGCCGCTCCACCACTGGTCTTTCCGGGACAGCCGGAGGTGGCCCCGGTCTGTTCTCTCGAGCGATCGACGGATGGCGCTGGACCGTTGTTGGAGTGGGGAGTTCGTCCCGACGCAATTGCCGCGATTCCCGGTTAGGCGTCGGAGGCGGCATGGAGAATGCCGGGCTATCCAAGTACCGCGATTCCCGTTGTGGCGTAGGCGGTGGGATTGAATGCACCGAACTTTCTCGTTGAATGGACAATCGCGAGGGTGACGGACCACCTCTTCGCGCAATGGACGGCTGCCGTGGAGGCAGCCCCGGACGTTCTGAGAAACCGTCATGCATCGGTATCCGGTTCGCAGAAAGTGGCACGGCTGACAGAGGTTCTGCTGGAAGCGACGGTCTTGGAGGAATCTGCACTGATAATGGTCTAGTCTCGCGCGGAGGTTCCGGAACCGAGTGCCGTTGTGTGAATGAAGGCTCGCGGAATAGAGGAGGCTGGGGGGTAGAGGTTCGTTCTTCAAAGCGATAACGCGGGGGTTCTGCTGGCGGCTGCGAGGGTGACCGGCGAGAGGGGGAGCGCGCAAGCTGTATGCCGCTCGAAGTAGGCGCATTCCGCTTCGGGGAGTCTTTCTCAGGGCTACTTGGTGGGGTGCTGAAAGGCGAGATACGGTCGTCCGCGGGCGCACGCTCAGGCTGCGGAGTCGTGAGTGAGCCACCGCCACCATCTTGATGGGACAATGCGGCCGGTTTGACGGGAATCTTGGGCTTGTCCAACCGGTTCACCGGAGGTGGCAGGGACGCGCTCTTCCCATGGTGGTCCTGCGGGCTTTCGCGGCCACTGGTCATGGAGCCCGTGGGCCCCGGAGAGAGGCTCCCTGCCTTTGGTTCTGTAGGAAAGCGCGACGTGACCGGGGTTGTCGGACGGCCTCCCTGCGGGATTGTAGGCAATGACTCCCTGGACGCGTTGAGAGGACTGCGGGGGAGCTGTCCATGATCTTCATGCTCAACCAGCGATCCGAATCCTCGTGGAGGAGATCGGGGAGAGTCAACTGTCAAGGTTGGAGGGAGCTGCGGCGACGAACGCAGGCTCAGAGACATCGGCCTATCCTGCCGCCGCCCGGGGGAGACCCCGGGGGTCCGTCCGGGTCGCGGGGGGATGCCATTGCCGTGCAAAGACCCGTGACTTCTGTTCAACTCGGGTGTGGAGTCCCATGCCGTATGTGACCGAGACAGATCGAGGGAGGCTCGCGAAGATGAGCAGACGTCGTCGCCTGGTTCAAGTGTCCTTAGGAAGGAAGGGGTGTCGCGCGTACCATTCGTTGCGGCGGAAGGGGCTCGGCGATGCGACAAGTTCTCGAAATGCGAAAGCAGAGAGGATACGGGTCTCTATATTAAGATAGTAGAGTTTAGCTTGGATCCCCGCTGGAGACTCTGTATCTGGGACATACAATGTGGGCATTATCCGTGCCGTCCTTCTTCTGACCGTTTCCCTCCATGACAACCGATCCGACACAAAATCTGAGGGAGAGTATAGTTCATAGGCAGCCAATCGCGGTAGGCGATATGATGCTCTCTGGAGGCAACCAGGTGAGGGCGCAGTAATTCGAAGACCGGTAATGAATGGGATAATAGAGGTGGCAGGGGAGGGCGATTGACTCTGTGATGATTGTGGCGGAGCTCCAGGCGGAAGGGAGTGGAGGAAGTGCGGAGGAACAGCAGGGGGGGAAGAGGAGAGAGGGGGGGGGAATTTGAGGAAGGATGAGAACAAAACCCAGACGTGTGGTTATGACTCGCCGCAGACAATTCGGCGGAAAAGAGTAGATGAGAGAGTGTGTATCTCGGAGGATGTTAAATTGATGGTGAAGGAATGGAGGGGAGAGAAGCAGAGGAAGGAGGGAGAGTTCGAGAGAGTGGGGGGGAGGGGAGGGGTGAAGCACAACAGAAGACGACGACTCGAGGCAACCAAATAGAACGAATACCTCGGGTGGATCGACAAAGAAGAGGAAGGGAAAGGAGATGAGGACTCGACACTGCGAGACTAGGGTGTAGTCTCCAGTAGTGCACGGTGAACCACAAACAAGAGCTCGAGGTACAGTAGAGTCGCGTCGAGTGAAGTTAAGAAGTAAGTAGTTGAAGTTGAGACGAATACCTAGTCCATGGGTAAGTAGAGGAAGAATGGCGGGCAGGCGGAATGACAGCCGGCGGTTTGGATCCGTCATTTATTGGCTACTTTTTTTATTTTTAGCCTCCCTTCTCCCCCCCTCCGCATCTTCTCCATTCGGCTTCATTATTCCGCCTCAGCTCCAGTTCCAAACTGCACGATCCAATACAGAAATAGAACAGTCCTTTACTTAGCATCTCAGCAACACCTTCACGAACTCCAATTTCAACCCCCGACAGCCCTCACAGGGTCATCGACAACCAGAACAGCCATGTGGTAAGGAAGCAGCCCGCAGCCCGCAGCCCGCAGCCCGCAACCCGCAACCCGCAACCGCAAGTAATAACCTCATCTCTCGACCGACTATAGCAAACACGTCCTCAACGCTCAAGTGGCAATCCGATCCCCTTGCTGTAAGACCCGATCATCTCGCTGCCTCGCCCTCATTTCTTCATTGCGACTCTGAAACTAAGGAATCATGGGAAATCAACAGGCAAGAAATGGTTCGATTGCGCCGAGTGCCACCAGGAGACCGAAAGACATCCCCTCCAGAAAGCCAGTGAGATGGTACATACAGCCCCTCCTCGCCTAGCTCCTACCTCTACACCGTTGACGATACATACACCACACCCTACACCCTACGCCCTACGTCCCCTCAATCCCTCGGACTCAAAACAAAGCACAAAGCACAAAGCACCACACCACCCACCCACCCCTCAGCTCCCTACCCAACCAAACACTAACAACAACTGGGGGGAACAGGTCTTCGCCTGCAAAAAATGCAAAAAATGCTTCCGCAAAGACACCGCCGAATTCGACGAGAGGTATGTCTGTCTCTTCATAAGTCACCGGGGTGGAAAAAAGAAACACGTAACCCTAACGAATATCCTCGCAACCCAGTGACGAATACTGTCCCCACTGCGATAACCACTTCGTGATCGAGGCCGTGACGCCGACGCCGACGCTACACGTGGAAGGCGAGGATGCGCGGGTGGATTCGAGGTATGATTTTCTTTTCTCATTTCGTGCTGTCACTTATTCGGTCTTCCCTCCACCCTATAATTTCCCTTTATTTTTTTTCTCCCTCCCCTTTCCTTAGGAGGGCAGGTGGCTTTTTTTTGCCCCACTCTAGGTGGAAATGAGATGGAGGGGAAAGGGGGGGAGGGGGATTGGGGGGAAGACTGAAGCAACCCCCAAAAAAAAGCTTGATTGGATTTAAGCTAACGCATAATGCTTCACGTAGAATGCTCAAGGATGATCGGGTTCGCGGGCATCAGGAGAAATCTATCTTCAATTTTAAGGATATTTCGGATCGGTTGGGTTAGAACTAGATTTCGCTTCTGCCTGTCTGGGCCCAAGGCAAAGCAGGGGTTTCTTTTTTTTTTACGAAGATTTACGATTTCATGCTACATTTCTATTCTTTCTTTCTTTGTTTATCTTAATTCGAATTGGTGTTGAGGGTGGGGTGTATACTTCTCTCGTCTTGTTCATAATTCCTTCATACCTGAGAATAACCTTACCTTACACTAGACTACACTACCGAGAGAAACAGTCGACCGTTCATGACAAAGTATTTCATTGGTTCGAACATAGCACAGCGCTGAGGAAAAAAGTAAAACCACGATTGTCTTTCATTCTCTCTCATCTAGATTTCTCCCAAATCAAGACGACTCGCCGGTCTCACCACCGCCAGGGCGAGTGAGGATCGCCGCCGTCGTAGTCCCGCCGCGGGCCGTCTTCTTCTTGGCGGCCTCCTCCTGCTTCTCCGTCTCTATGCTCTTGACGTACGCCTCGATCTGGTCATCCGGCAGCATCTCGATCGCCTGGCCGGGCGCCATGATGGCGACCTCGATGTTCTTGGCGCCCGTCTGCACCACCTCCAGCAGGGACTTAATGGTGAGCTGGATGGTCTGTTCACGGTCCATGTCATCCTGGTGGTTGCGTTCGAGGAACTCGCGGACGGTCTTGCTGGAGCGGCCGATGGCGTTGGCTTTCCTGTATCCACCAGGGAGTAATTAGCCAAACTGGTATACTCCTTCTCATCCAGGACCTATCCGACACGCAAGAATCAAAAAGAGAAAAGAAAAGAAACATACCAAGCCGAATAGATTCCCGATGGCTCCGTCTGGTAAAGCCGCGGCGTGCGGTCGTTGGGATCGAAGCCCACCACCAACGTACTGATGCCGAAGGGCCGCACACCTCCACTCTGCGTGTACCGCTGCTGCACCCCGGCGATGTACTTGGTGATGTATTCGATGGTGACGGGGTCCTCGACGGTCAGGCGGTGCGACTGGGCCTCCAGGCGGGCCTTGTCGATCAGAATCCGGGCGTCGGCGTTCAGGCCGGCGAATGCCAGCACGGCGTGGTTGTCGACCATGGCAATCTTCGAGGGGGTGATCCGCGTGTCTTGGAGCTTGAGAGCCGAGCGCTTCTCGCAGCCGAGCACGACCACGTCCTTGCCTTTTACGCCGACGGCGCAGGTACCTGTCCGGTTTGTGTCACATGCGTTAGTATGCTGTACAGTGAGAGAATGAGGGGCCGGGGGTGGGAAGGGTGTTTGTCGGAAGGATAAAATTGGGGTGTTGGCCGTGGCAGGTGATGGAGGGAGGAGGTGGAGGTACGTACCTCTCTTAACAGCTTCCATGGCGTATTCCACCTGGAAGACGTGCCCGTCGGGGCTGAAGACGATGGTTAATCACAGTTCTGGGAAGTAGTATCATAGTCGCCATACCTGAATACTGTTATCAATTAGCAATCCATCCTCACTTGCTCCTAGTCCCCTCGGGTCGATGATGTAGGAGCTTCAGCTAAGCTAGGTTCGGTCGGATCTGGCTTACCTGAAAGAGCTCGATCGTAGCCGGACATGATGGGCAGCAAGCACAGGGTACAGGAGTATCGAATACAATGGAGGAGAAGGAGATAATCAAATCGTCAGAAGATGCAATTAGTGGTCTGGGGTCGTAAAGAGCTGGCTGAGGGTCTCCGCTGGGCGATGACAGATGGAGGTGTACGCGAGTCCCGCCGCTGCCTTCAGAGCTCCCAAGCGCTAGGCGCGCGGCTAGCCGGACCATGACGCTTACCTCCGTTGCCTGAGCCGGCATCAGCACATAAGACCGCAGTCTTGGTCACAACATTCTTTCCTAACATTTATGACCTGGAATCATTACTCTCAAGCTACGGAGTACTTACTCACTGTACTACAGGTCACTATATTACAGATCATTATACTACAGGTCACCACAAATGATCGAACAGTAGAGCAGACTTTTAAATCATCAATATGTAGAGAACAATAAAATGACAAGACAATTATGGACATTCAGAACATTCTGGTCGCACTTCACGACTCCCAATCGACCTTCGCTGGTTGAATGAAGATTTTGCTGGCTCAAAAGGAATACCCCAACCCCAACACCCCCAAGAGAGTCCGTTCCATTGTATCCCAACCCGTGTGATTCAATACCTGTGTTTCTCCAATGAACCCGCTTGTCGAAGAGCGCAGATGAATGCGGAAAACCAATAAGAAAGACAAAATCTAGAATGCAATGCCATGCTCGAGCACAATCCACATCCAGTCGGCCACCACCTCCGGCGAAGCCTACCTCGGAAGGTTTTCCCAATAGCAGAAATAAACAATCGCACGAAGTGCCAGCGGATTTCACACGTGAATTCCAGAGCGTCGGAGAATCTCTGGGGGGGTAAATATAATGCCTCCCGGCCGATGAAGACGCAGCCAACTCCCGTGGACAGAAGCGTCAACCCTACCAGGACCGGCTTCTATATCCTCAAACATCGCTTTCAATGGCGCAAATAGTAAGACATACCGAAAAAAATGTCTGTGATAAGGTCTGCAACGAGACCAGGCGAAACAAAAAGGATCAAACCCGTTGAAACGACGACACGCTACCGGCCTGCTCCTCCCAACCGAATGCACCAGAACTGCAGAATTCCTTATACAAATGCGCAGCAACGAATATCAACCGTCACATATACCAACATATTCCAGACCTTCATATGGACAAAAAACGTGAGGAACAACCGTAGAAAAGATAATGACAAATATATGCCTCCGGGCCGTTTAAGCCGGGGACTTGTTGGCACCAGCCCCGTTGCGACGAGAGTGGCCATCCTCGCCCACAGTCAATCCTCCAAGACCGGTGGAGAGAAAGGCAAAGGGGTCGCTCGCACCGTCATTGCCATAGAACGCGCCGTTGGACGCGCTCGTGGAAGTGGTGTGATCCGCACCGGTGAAAGCGGCCTGAGCGGCGGGGTTAGAAAATGAAGCCGCGGAGTGGGAGGTGTTCGAGGAACCGTAGCCGGCATTCATCTGGCCCATAGGAGCGTAGCCGCTGGGGGTGCTGCTCAAGCCTGAGGGCAGGGCATAGTTGTTAGGGGGGGCACCAAACTGCTGGCTGAAGCCACCGAAGCCACCGGCCGATCCAGTGAAGCCTCCGGGAGCGGGGGTGCTCGTCACAGAGTTAGGACCCATGCCAAAGCCAGTGGGAGGGTCCATTGGAGAGGGGAAAGCCGAGTCAGCGACGACAGCAGCGCCAGACCGAGGCGCACCGCAACGGAGACAGTTGATGTTCTTAGCAAAGTTGTGGTAACCACAACCCTCAGATCCACATTTCCAGTCACCAGCACGGAACGGGACCACACCACCATTGCCGCCCATCCCGCGGGAGTGGCCCATGCCGTGACCACCGTGGCCCATGTGAGGAGGCATCATGGAAGGGGGAGCGTATCCGTAACCGTAGCCCATCGGATCAGGGGCAGCGGCCATGGCGGGGAAGGAGCAGCGGAAACAGGCGGTGCGGCGCTGGAAGTTGGAGAAACCGCATGAAGGGCAGGTCCAGTCGCCAGGACGGGGGCGGTTCTTCGAAGGGGGGAAGGGAGTCAGGATTTCAGCAGCACGGTCGAGAACCCGGCTGGAGGAAGGAGAGACCTCAATGGCTTTTTCGTTGAGAGCACGACCGTTCATGCACAGGCTTTCAGCGGCCTGTGGAATGATGATTAGAAAAGCGGTGGGACATGTACGTAATTCCAATTCTTACCTCTTCGTGGGACGAGAAGACCGCAAATCCGGTGCCGGTGGGCTTGTGCTGGTCAGGAGTGCGGAGAGTCCAGAACGCGATAGGACGTCCACCGAACTGGGTAAACCAACTCTCCAGCTCCGACTGCGTCGTATCGTGGGGCAGACCGCTCAGGTGGAGCACCTTGCTGCGCTCGGTCAAAAACGCCCGGACATCGGCCCTGGCGTCCATAGGACGAGTCAAGATCTCGGGATGTTCATGCGGAGGCTGAGACTTCCGGATCAGGCCACGGAGCACCCGGGCCAGCGTAATTGCTTCTTCCATAGCTCTCCGCGGCGATGCGGGGGCCAAAGCCTGCAAGTGGAATGGGAGGTTATGCTTGATGGGGGCGGAGGACTGCACGGGTTCGACTTCGAGAGCGGCGCAGATGTTGGAGAGAGAGCTGGGGCCGAAGGGCAGAGACTCCGGGTGGTGAGTCTGCCATCGCTGATACTCGGTCCGGAGGTCGAACGTCCGCGAGTGTTGGAGGTATGCGGGGAGCACGACGGCCTTGTCACGGGCCTCGCGAGGCAGCTGAACACGGAGATCCCACGAGTCCAATGTCACGAAGGCGAATTCGAGGTTCTTGCTGATGAGGTGTTCCTGGGCGAAGACGTCGAAGCGGCTGATAGCATCGCGGAATGTACCTGCGGAGCGAACATGCTCCCATGTTAAAGTTGTCAGGCTCGCTGTCGAGAAACGTCAGCCATTGAACCAACGAACCGATGTATCTGAGAGGGCAGGGAAAGGGAAAGGGAAAGGAATCGAGGCTGACGGGGAGGAGGAGTTGGCGGACAAGGCTGAAGTTGATTGGGTAGACTTACTACAGAGAGGCGTGATGGGGGTGTTGACAGGCTTGACGAGTACGCTCTCATGGTGCAACTAAAGGAGACGCCGAGTCAGCAATCATGATGGTTGAATTAGAGACTAGTGCTGTCCGGGCAAAGGCCGCAAGTCCTTGTTTTGGGGGGTAAGGATTGGGTTGGTTGAAGGGAGGTGCAGCAACGCAGCGATCGAGCAAGGGTTATCAGAGGAGGGGATCCGAAGAAGAGGGGCGCAGCAACGAAAAGGCTGGAATTGGACGAGAAAGACTCGAGCGAGAAATCAGATAAAATCGAATAAGATTCATGCGTACCTCCTCGCAGGTTTTGGTATCCAACAAGATCCACCCCAACTCAATCACCTCGGCGGAGTCCTTAGTGACGTAGACGCCATGTTCATCGCAGGTGGTTGCGACGTGGATGACAATGTAGCGATCCAGCTTAGGAGTGGGAGCTGATACGGCGGCCATCGCTCAAGGTGTTGTTGGGTCGGTCACTGCCTCTCACGCCAACGGAGCGGGCAGTAGGGGGGTGGTGAGTGGTGGAGGGGGGGGGTGTGGGAAAGAACCACGGACGGGTCGGAGAAAGGGGAGAAGGGAAGGAAAAGGGTAAAAAAAAACGTGTCTCTGCAAGGACCGGCAGGCGACACGATTTTCACGACTCGGAGAGAAATGACCGTCGTGGAAGACAAAAAAAAGACACGCGGGCGGGAAGAGGAGGGAGAAAGAGAGGGGAGGGAAGGAGGAGGAGAAGAGAAGAGGAGAGAGAGAGAGAGAGAGAGAGAGAGAGAGAGAGAGAGAGAGAGAGAGAGAGAGAGAGAGAGAGAGAGAGAGAGAGAGAGAGAGAGAGAGAGAGAGAGAGAGAGAGAGAGA